TGTCAAACTCTGTGTCATTCCAATACAATATATAAAATATTATATTATTTCTGTGACATAATATAAAGTGAATCATATTGATTCAATTTCCACTTCATTAAATAAATCAACATGGTATTATCTACCTACTGTTGTTCTGTCAACCATGTCAAGTCAATTTGATTTGACTCAGTCTCTTTAATAATGAGCAGTCAACACTTCTTAATTTTACACTAAATATTAATAAGCTCTTCATATATTTAATATTGCTGGGGGTTTCAATCTTTTTAAGAGGGCACCTAAATGAAGGTAGGCATGACATGCAGTGCGCAATGATGCAAATTTTGCCAGGATATTTAAGAGGACAGAAAGATTGAACAAACACAATAAGGTTTCTTTTATTCTTTCCTGTTGTAGTGATTACTATGTACATTATACATTTATGTCTTTTGCCTTAAGTGACCAAGAAAAAGTCGTTAATTCAAGATGGGGCAGTATTCTTGTGAATTCCTTCCAGCAATGTGTGATGCAGAACATCATTTACATGAAATTATTATTAGATCTTCAAATCAGAAGATATTGTAAGTGTAAAAAAAAACTGGTTTTCATTTACTTTACTTTGAAGTTCACCAAGATTTTAAGATTTGGTGTTGTCACTAATAGCAGCTATTAAAAAAATATCTCAGAAGTAGTGTATTCATTAACCCCTTTTAACATTCTAAAAAAAACTTCAAATAAGTCAGCCCCTATCCTTAAAGGACTATAAAGGGTTAAAAGAGAAAAGTGAAACTACCTATTAAACATCAATGAATTGTCATCAAAAACATGTTTGATGTGTATCAGTTTGTCATCAGAGTCATAACTAAACATGAGAGTGAGCAACAAGTCACTGGCCCCAGGGTAAGGTCTATTCAACACCAATTTAAAGGGGATTTTAATAACACCCTCTTGACATGTATAGGGTCTGTTATACGTGTATCTTGTCATTGTTTGGCTGTTAAATCAATTGCCACTTCCCCCTTTCTCTTAAAAACCTGCACTTAAATCAATTTGTGGGAAATTTGTGTTTCTGTCTCACCAACTACATTTCTGACGTAAAACAAATATGTTAACCTTTTGTAACCTGCTTTTTTCCTTTTCTAATGAACTTAACCAGGCATTCCCAGTTACATGATACATGTTTTGAATAGGTGTAGTCTTTAATTTGGTAATTGAAAAATCAACAATTAATTTAGTTGACAATGTAGATATAAGACTAGAAGATAGACATATCTCTGTCATTTAAAAACTAATGTTTTCAAAGAAAAAACAAAAATTTCTTTGGGTTTTTTTTAACAGTATGAAGCAAAGCAAAGACAAATATACAATGCTGTTGAAAGCAGGAAATCAAGCTGAAGTTGATCAGCACTTATTCAGAACAGCATATAACTCGTTACAAAAATGATCAAGGTCCCTTTTAACATTAGACACAACCCTTTTCCCTCTATCAAGATCGCTAAAACAGTTTGCTCTTTGTCTTTCCTTATTGATCACAGTGCGATATAAGTTCCAGTCAGAAAAATCTAGCTACTTTGAATTCTTTTAAATTAAAAAGGAGTATTTTGGTTGACAGTACTAACAAGGGTGAGTATTTTGGTTGACTGTACTAACAAGGGTGAGTATTTTGGTTAACTGTACTAACAAGGGTGAGTATTTTGGTTGGCTGTACTAACAAGGGTGAGTATTTTGGTTAACTGTACTAACAAGGGTGAGTATTTTGGTTGAGAGTACTAACAAGGGTGAGTATTTTGGTGGACAGTACTAACAAGGGTGAGTATTTTGGTTGACTGTACTAACAAGGGTGAGTACTTTGGTTGACAGTACTAACAAGGGTGAGTATTTTGGTGGACAGTACTAACAAGGTTGAGTATTTTGGTGGACAGTACAAACAAGGGTGAGTAAGGTTTAATGAAATGAACCAAGAAAATTAACAAGATCATCTTGCACTGTAAAGGTTTATAAAGTGAGTCATATGACGTCAAGCTTACAAAGTATAATAAATCAAAATGTCATCAAAGATTAAAATATACACAGGTTTAGTTGTCTAAATATAATTCATGTTATATATTTTTCATATCCTGAACAATAAAAAGATAGAAGTTTGTCATTTTATTGACATGTAATGAATACACAAATATTTCTTTGTAGTAAAAGCACCTCAATTAATTTTCTAATTAATTTTGTTTGTGTTATGCTTTATATAAATGCTAATGAACGCATAAAGTCAATTTTTAGGACATACTAGTTTTTTTTAACTCTACACTGGTTTACAACAACAGTCAAAACATCACAGACAAAACATCAGCTGGAACAGACTGAAATAAGATGTTATGTTTATCTATATATTTGAACTGTATATCATTGTATTGTATTAAATTATACATCATGTAATACCACCATTTCAACAAGCATCAGAATTTTTGGTCCTGATCTTTTTTGGGTTGATTGGCTGCATTTTTGCAAAAAGGTTGGGAACCTGCGAGTACTACATTTTACCATCGTCGTGCAATCGCCTATATCTGACAGTTTCAAAGAATTCTTGGTGAAATGGAGGTATATAAATCTAATATAAATTGTTCCATTCCAATCTGCATAAGCTCGGTGTAACTTCATATATTTTTCTAAACAGCTAGTGTGCCTTTTAAACATGTTAAGAAAGATTATTATTACTAAATATTTAGTCCTCCATTAATAAACACAGTAAGCTACACCAGTACTTCCTTTTTAGACAGGACATAGTGATACAACAACAGGAAATTATTAACTCTCGATCTCTCTTGTCTTATAATCAGTACAGTTTGTGGCACGAGACACCAGCTAATTTTTAAATAAGGAATAGAGAACACTTCAGATGGTATCATTCAGAGCTTTCCACTTTTTGAAATGATATATCTGATCTCATCCCAGCCCATCACTTGAAGTACAGTACACAGTTCAATGATGGACCTTGCTCTGATCCTCAATTTTTTTTCTCCATAAATAGTAAAAATATACTTTATATTGAAGGCTTCAGCTGCATCAACTTAATGCGCTGAATTGTATAAATAAATAAACCAGGTACCAGATAAATCCAGACTGCCAAATGAAACCCAAAATTCGAACAACGTACTGACAAAAAATTGGTAGCTGCTAATGAACTTTTCACATGAGGAAGTATATCAATCATAAGTGAGTTAGTATTTCATAATGAAAAGTGGTATCTTATATTTTCCTGTAACTGGCTTTAAGGATTTAGTTGATGAAATATTTTCTCAAAATAGAGGTAAATTTTAGCCAAAGATATCACTTTTCAGTTGAAAATCAGAAGTCTACGTACGATCAAAGGAAACAAAGTGAAGAGAGTAAAAGTTTCCATGTCACTATCAAACCTCTTTAATGCAGATATCACCAAAAAATCTAATAACTAAGTTAGAAATTAGGGCAATCTCGGATATTTGGCCCCCTTCGGACATAAACTTGGCTCTGCCACTGATCATCAGCAATATTGTTATGCAATGACTTGATATTTAAACTATTGTTATTTCCTGCAGATAGTTTTTATCAACTTTTAGAGAAAGCAGATGTTTGATTTCCATTTTCAAAGTGAGACAAGTAATGGAATGGATAGTTTTATCAGTTATCAGAACAGAACATTTTTGTAAATTGTTATTTCTAAAATATCAGCATGTCATTCACCATTGAATAACCAAAATCTTTTAAGTTCAAAGTCCATTTCAACTTGTCAAATTTTTAAGAAAAATAAGAGCATACAGCTGGTGATGTCATAGTTGAAAATCACAACAAATGTCCAATTAGAAAAATCAACAAAATGAAATTATACTGTCTTTTTATTGCCTTGTTTTACATGTTTACTTAGTTGCATCAGAACACTTCAAGTGTTAAACTGCCATACAAAAGACGAGATCTGCTATCATATCGCTTCAATAAGCACATCAAATAGATGTGGAGAGGTGTTTTTTAAGGGAAGGTTATTTAAATGGTGTAAATAAGACCATCTTTTCTTAACAATAACTTATAATTCATCATCACCAAGGCATTTCCGTTTTTCTTTTATACTGATAGAGGGTTGTGTACATCAAAGAGGGACAACTTTTCATCCTTTTTTTCATATTTCACTCAACTTTTTATTACAACTGTAGAATTACTATTACTACGACCGTTCTAATTCACAATAAAAGTCCCTTATTTTTTAAGCAGACAACAATCAGGGTTTATTTGGACCTACAAGTCACTTATTTAGCAAGTCACTTTTTAAATGAGAAACACTGTAAACACTTCATCAAAATCATGCCGAAATTCTTAATTTCATGTGTTATTTTGCGTTGTAGATGTATATTCTTGCTTTGAGCGGTTATTATTTAAATTATTGTGGGTAAGTTATGTGTTGAAGGGAAACTATGTGGAAGGGATTACTACTTGTTAACTGGTACACTGGAGAAAATGTAACTTTGACATATAATTGATTATGAAATTTATAATCGAAAATAGATTATTTTAATCATTTTACCCAGTCTTACTCATGAGACATACAACTTTAATATCAATCTACATATAACTTGTTAAAATATGATGCTAATCTTCAATATAAGATAATTGAAAAGAGTTTTCATACCATACCTAGAAGGCTATGCCTGCAGATATTCAATAATGTAAACCAGGTTATCCAAATATATCTGATCTGATATCATTATTTAAATCATTAAATATCATCAGTATCATAATTAATATCATGTTTATCATGTACCGTAGTTAATATCATGTTCATGGCGTTCCTTATTATTTCATTACCTACAGGCATATAAACAAGTAGTCCAAATGTTCAAAGGAAAGACCTGAATTTTTTTTTGTAAGAAATGCAAGAGGTGAAATAATTGAAGTCATGCAATTTCTTTTTTAAATTTTTAAGGGATATCATACTCTATAAATTACAAACATCACTTTCAAAAGAGATTTTTTAAGAAGCGTTACTACCGCCATTCAGCTTACAGTCCATATTGACGGCAATATCTATTTTGAAAAGTGCTCTGGTAGCCAGTAATACTGAAAACTAAATTTGTATGAGAATTGTGATTCCTGAAATAAAATGCAGAAGTATAAAGAAAACTTACATATTATTATCACCCGAGATATAATCTTCTAACTGCTGGAAATCTAATCCTTCATTATCTATTCCTAGATCCATGTTTCTACCTGAAAATATAGAAACATCTTTTAATTATGACCAAAATCAAAAACTTTATCTAGGACTCTAGTGTTGTTGGGAACAGAAACGGGTTCGTTTTTTATATCTTTTTTTAATTTTAATAGTCATTTATTGCCATGTATCAGAAAGAATTGAGTTTAACTAAAAGAGAATGATGAATTTTCATCAATTCTTATTCCTTTTCTACATTCCTAGAATTCTCAAAGAAAGAAGTCTGATGCCACAGTTAATGCCTCCTATCTAAAGCCACTTTTATCATTCACAATTCCTTTCACCTATTGTTTATAGTGAACAATCTTAACAGTAGCAAATAGAAAGTGATGGAATGTAAATAAACAATAATATTCAAGATAAAGATTAGATGATTATTATCTTGTGTTGTAATATACACTTATTTACACCATCTGATAGCTTATCTTATTCAATTGGCTATCCATATACAGCTAGGTCATCTCATTTAATTACAGACAAACCTGGTGTCAGAATTTGATAAAACTGTGAGTGCCAAAACCTCTTAACTATCATGATATTGGTAATATTTGTATGTAGGTATAACAGGGTGAGAGCCGACACTGGGCCGACTCTCAGAAGCACTGGCACAGGCATCTGAATTTTACTTAACTTTATGAGGATTCAAATCCATGGCATCTAACCTAGTAGGGTTAAGAACAACATATATATATGAGGGACTTTCTTATACACAAGAGTAGGATTATAGTTCGTAAAGTTCAATAGACATAGCTATAGTAAAATTATAAATCAAAAGACTAATTCTCTATGTATAAAGTTTATTTCAAGGTAACCAAAAGCCTTGTTCCAGTTTCAGTGCAGAAAAATTCTTGTTCTAGGTATCCTATGTTGCATCACATACTGTAATTGATTGACAATTGAATAACCTCTTTCCACCACTTACATCTGATTGAACAGTTTACCTTGTGAAAATAAGCACAAAATTAGGCAGGGGTGACTTCAGTGATTTCTAAGTGAAGCAATATTAATTCAAGGACATCATTTCAGTTTGTAACCCTTATGTTACAATAGTTCATATACTTAGCATGTGATATAACAGTGATAATAATGTTCCCTTTAAAATAGTTATTGGCCTTGAATTAAATAGTTGTTAATTAGGTTATACTACTACTGATTCTGATCTAAAAAGTACCGCCACGAGACATGGTAAGTGCAGTATCAAATAACACTTACTTAGCCTAATTCTAGCTTTTGCACTGATCTAAAATTGGATATTGGAAATAAAATGACACAGTTTTAAATTAAAGGTGAACAATTCTTCAACAAACTATTTATAATTTGTAGTTATGGCATATCCTAAACTCCATAGTATTAATCTTTCACAAAACAGAGTGAGTATTTGAAATATGGTAAAATGAAACAAATATTTAAATGACTATATATGCCTTTCAAGGGATAGATGCACCATACTTTAGACCAATCAGATTTTAGTCTCAGAAACCGGAATTTTTTTAGCTAAGCCAATCAGTAATAGTCTTCACAGCTCACCGTCGAAATTTAAGCCTTCAAATCCATCTGCGTTTGAATGTTGACAAGATGACAAGTTCGCATTTTAAGATACTCTGTGGTATAGAAAATGAAATGAAATGAATGGAGTTTTATGTCCTACTTTTCTGCACCATGTGGGCTAATGAAGACGGGCAAATCCATGCAGGGTGGAATGAGAGAAATTTTTTTAGTAAAACAAGGAATAATGCGATTTTCGTAGATTTCTAGTACTACTGAAGACTATTTACATCTTTTCGAGACTCGAACCAAACCCCCAAAATGGTGCCTCTGTTCCTTTAAACATTATCTAAATAGAACATTAATGGTATTTGAAGAATGGTAATATGAAGCAGATGAAACTAGATTGTATTAGTTCAGAAGTCAATATATCTGATGAACTTGGAGGATATTTATCACTTTCTAAAAATACTACATTTAAAGATGGAGGTGAATAAAGGGTTTCTGACCTATTAAAGGGTGTCTCACTTTAAAATTCTAATATAATCCTGATACTAAAGATTTGCTAAATCCAAAATCCTGACATTCACTGAACACAAATTCCCAAAAGCACTAGAAACAAAATGGAGAAAGTGAAGAATCAAATATCGTACTTAAGGCAGGCCATTACTGTTAAGTTCAAACAATATTTTCACTCACTCACAATAAATCGTCAACAAAAGTCAACAATCTTTTGAGGTGGTTGGACGACAAAAATAAACTTCGTACATGAGGCAATGTTATGAATTTTGTCACCTATTCACGACAATCTACTTGAGCTAAGAATAACAAATATAAACTTGTTTTTAGAGGAAATTGATATAGATAAAGTATATTTTATGAAGTCAAGTTTTCAAGGTGGACATATTGAATCTTATCCTAGCAATGTTGTTCTGCTAAATTCTTAAGTCTCTTCAACCATTTGATTTCAAAATATTTTTAAAGATTTGTTATTATAAAAGATTGATAGGGTTGAGGTCTTCTTCAGTTTTAAATTTAAATCATCCATTTTGTTAGAAAAAACACAGAATTCAAATTGGTATAATATTTTGTTTTTAAAATGATAATCATAGTTATTGAAAGCTATAAAAGAATTATCTGACTATTTTAATTTACTATAAGGCAATTACCAGTACATTATGTTTTTGGATTTTGGATTTCTTTTTTATCCTACTATCCTTCTAAAACTACTTGGTTTATTCATTTACAGCTAAAATTGGTAAGGCAAATAATCAATAAAGCTATACCCTCATAGAATCAGGTAGTTGAAACATTATAAATGGTCTTCAGTGAGATCTGACTAAGTGGACAAGAAAGATGTCTAATTAGGTAAATTATGACTGCCAAGCAGTTAATATAAAGATCAAAGTTATCAGTAAGGTGTGTGATATCATAAATATTAAAAAAATTATGATATATTATCATCATAGTCATCTACTCTACAGATGTTAATATCACACACATCTTTTTACTTCTAGGTCCAGATCTGATCTTAGTCACATGAGCCTTGTCTCTCAGGAGATGCTTAATTAGTGGGAATAATCTCTTGTCCTTTAATGGTGTGTCTCAGACATCTAATCTTTGTGGAAATGAAATACATCACACTCTCCTGGTTCTAATGGGGATAATCAAGATGGGCAAAGCAAGGAACAATTTGCAAATTTTTTTCAGATTTCCAGTGCCTCATAGTCCCATATGAAAGACTAGCCATTCCGTGTCTGCCACTATGGGAAAGAGATGGAAATCCTCAGTGGAAAACATCTTTCTAATTTTTTAATCTTATAAAATAAATTTTGTTCTTCACTCAAATTTTGATCCGCAGTTGTGCAAAAGAGAGGCATGTTCATATTAAACACTTTAAATATAACAGTCAGTAAGTAACCATCAGTTTTTAGCATTTTGAGTTTGCATTAATGATCTCGGCAATAGTGTCACTGTCTTGTTAAACTGATAAAAATTTGATGAGATGATTTTCACCATTAAATACCTTACTCATGTCACGTGTCATCAATATAAGTTCATAATCAAAGTTTTTGTAATCTTACTAACCTACTAATTATTGTTTCATATTGAAATCACATCATCAGATAAAAATGAAAGGAATATAATATTGCCTTATATAACATTATCAATTTTATCAACTTTATCAACATAAATACCCACTTTCAAAACGTACTTAATTTCACTTTGAGCTTTTTTCTGTACCTTACCGCTCTAATGCTATGTTTGTAGCAAGCAGGAGTGACTCGGGGCTGACATGAAAAAGTGTCTTTTGACTCGGGTGGTACAATAAAACACAATTCTGTGTGTTATAAGGGTGCAGGTTAAAGATCCCTCCTCCTTTGAAAATTAAAAGAAATTGGAAGGTTTATGCCATTGTCTTGTCAAATTTTCTCTCAAATTACACTGCATGATATAGCCTGTTTCAACCCGAAACTGTATGAGAACATTAAAGACTTTCAAGCCCAATTTCACCTCATTTCATATATATATGTATATATGTATGTTTGAGGGTAAGAAAATATAACCAGATTCCTCCTCTGAACTCGATTCAAATAATCATATAAAGGCAATAGCTTGAACAGGAAAGAAACCAATCCCTTTAAATAATACACTATTTATTAACACTTCTTATTATAGATATGATGTAAAATAACGGTAGCATAATGTTAGGTTGACAGTCCAAAAATAAGTTTCTGTTCAATGAGATTTTCCTAAATTTGCATTTAAAAAATTCTAAGTTTTTTTTTTTAGATTTCTCTGACAGGGACTACAAATTTATTGCATTTAAAATCTTTTCAATTATTTTAGGAAATAAATTTCAAGAATATCATTTATTTATTTGGTGGCTATAACTCATACTAAGTTTTCACAAGATAATTGCGTTAATCTCTTGAAACTGAAATTTTGAGGATGGAATAACACTGTATAATATATTCTTCTCAAAAAATCAATGTTTGGAAATTATTTTTCAAAATCTAATTTAAAATTTATATACTTTTAAAAAATCAAAAAATCCTTTAAAATTTTCTCCTTTTTATTACCTGGCAAAGCTATATAGGAAACAGGCAACACCGTGCAGTGTGTAATGGGAAGAAATTATGCTGCAAACTATCACAGTAATAAAAAAGTAAAAATTAAAACGAACATGTTTTTTTGTCCAATCATTTCGTCACATTCATCAAAATACATGTACTGGTATATGCATTTACTATATTAACAGAACAGTTAGAAAATATAGTTTAAAATATAAATTAGTAAAATAAAATATGATTTTTCACTTTAAAAAAAGACAAGACTCACAATGGTGTAACATTACTTTCAAAATTATAATGGAAATACTGATCTTACATAACAAAATAAGATTTCATTTTATATGTGTAATTATGTGTAAAATAGGATTTGAAATATCTTAAAGGGATTGCCCTACTTTTATTGGCCACACGGGTCAAAGTCTCATTCTTCATTTTCTATTCAAACATTTCCCTATTTCCTTTAAATGTTAAGCATTGTTCTAAGACTACTGGTACTTTATCATATAAAATTTCGGGAAAATTCCATTTTTTATTCTCTATTAATTGATCAGACCCAATAGCCAGTTCAGAACTGTGTGCAACATACATCCCTTCTTCCACCTCAAGATTATCAACGTCGATTATCAGTTTATGGCCAGTGATGGAAACAGGTATTAGAACAGGTTTACATCATTGACAGTTATCCATTTATCATTTAGAACGTTGTTGAAATCAAATTTGATCAGTTCACAGCGTTTATCATAAATCTGACAACTGTAAATGTACGGTAGTAAACCTTTTGTTTTACATCTTTTTCCATAGATTGCCATAGTAAATCAACGTTTGTTTATCTTTAGACAGAAGTAGAGATTTAGCATGCTGCTCTCATTGAACATAAATTTACCCCTTATTGGGGTCATATCAATCTCAAGGGATTCTGTTTACATTTTTACCCTACCAGTCATGACTTTTCTAAAAAGTTTCAATACTTTCTTAGTCTGAATCTCTCCATATCAATTGCATCAAGCTAATCAATCTTCTAAATATATTAAATAAAATATTGACAATATAAATCAATTAATTTTTCAACGAATATAACAAATGACATCAGTTTGAACTAGAAATTTAAGGATTTCCTTTAAAATAATTCTTCCCTTTCTTTAGTACACAGTTCATACTGTTACCAACCAATCAATCACAACATGAACTGTCAATAGGTCTCCAGGCCCTTCAAGGGTTTTTATTGAACCTTAATCAATCAACACAATTAAAGAGTGAGAAAACTCCATGAATAGAACACTTGAACAACAAAAGCATACCATAAAATATCATTTTGTCTTTTGGTGTTGACAGTCAAATTTTTCATTCCAGTACCTTGTTACCAACAGACGCCAAACCCAAGTTTTTATTTGCCTGTATATGTCATTTAGTGAATATTCTCTCAAACAATTCGACTATTTATTCAAGATGATATATTACTCAACTAGACAAAATGTCACTTACAATTTCTAACCTTTTCTTGTCAACTTCCGACAAAATTAGCTGTAAAAGGAGGCCATATTATGTACCAATGTATAAATAAACATCTTAAACTTTAAAAGAAAAGTTATAAAAAATTGTTTTAAAGTTTGAACAAAATTACCTAATACTGCTTGAAGTGTCTGCTCGTCACCCAATACTTCCATTTCCCCTGATTCTCTTAATTAATCCCGTTATTTTGTCCAAATATCCATGAATTTTTCTTAACTTTTCATACAAAGTTTCTTACACACTGACCTCGACGTCATAGTTTAACTGTACAAACCATGTGATTGACGGCTCTTCCATTCACCTCCTACGGAGATGTAAACAAACCGTTATTTACTTAGTCCGAAATCCTGACTTTAACCGACTTCTTGAAGCTCGGATTTGAATCGAGAAATCTGATATCACGATCTGATATATTATCTGATATTATTATATTAGGCTAAGAGGTATATATGCGTTTTTTTTTAAAAAACAATTTTCGAAAACTCCCTCAAGTTGGTTTCTTATAAGCAAATAATTCCACACAGTTCTGTACAATGAAAAACGAAAAGAATAAATTTGGAATGTATCATCCTACTTTTAATGTGCAGTGTGCAATGGTGGAAAGTTTGTCAAATCTTTGATAAACCGTCGTTGACTGATGTTCCCAGCCTCACCAACAGTCCGAGACAGCAATTATTCGAATCATCGATTCAAGAGAATAAACTATCAGACTTAGTTTAACAGGGTTAGAGATTCGGACTATGCTATATAAGGACCATTACAAGTGGTAACAATACAAAGTATATAATTAAATTAATTTGTATACTTGTAATTTTACACCATAGCTTACGTAATTAATAGATCCAATTATCCTGAAACAAACAAAGTTAAGCTATTAACAAAAACTTCGGCCTACCTGTAGAATGGGACTACGGTGGTGATCTAATAGGTCGCTGTGGTCTTTGATTTTTTTTTTTGCAAATTTGATTGTTTTATTATATGAATTAAAGTTTTGAAAAATAGATTAATGTAGAAGTAGTGTGTTCGTAGATTGTCATTGCCTTGATAAAGATTGGAAATCTTACACAGAAATATGCTGGTGTTTCTATAGGAGAATATTCTGATTTATGTGCTTCCGAGAATCGACCCGGTGTCGGCTTTCAGAACACCACCCCCTACCTCCCCCCCCCCCCATACTTAATCCACAGCTCTTTGTTTTTTGTGTATTTTGTATACCTTTTTCTCGGGCTACAATATCTTGGCGGTTTTATTTCAAGTTTTACAAAACTCTGTATTTCTATGGTTAAGACAAATACTACGCTTTTAAAGATATCAATTGTTTTCTATATTAGCAGATGAGATCGACGTTTGATTGTAATTCTGAAAAGTAAAACCATCGTAAAACCTATGATGAAATTGGTGGAAAATGGTGAAAATGTTAGAGGCTCAAGAGTGTGTTATGTAAACTTTAAAGGGACAGCATGCACAATTTTCATCATCAAAAACGTCGTAGATTATACCTAAAAATATTTCTAAAATATGCCTTTAAGTTTTGCGTAAGTCGGTCGAGTAGTTTTCTACACTAAAAGCAGAAACGAACTTTTAAATAGTTTTGACGTTAAAAAATAAGCGGCGGGATTTTTTTAGTTAAAACTTTCAGATAAGTTAAGGAACTTTTAGTTATCATAAATTTGTGCAAAAAAACATTTCGTCCTACAAAAAAAAATACCCCTTTGAGCTTTTGCTTGGCTTTATCTCTGACCATTTCTCTGACTTTCCTGGACACACAAATTATGATGCCAACCAAAAACTCCTTTCATATGGTCATATTTCTTAATAATGAATTACCCACTTTTAAAAAGACTAGATTTATAACGGAATATAAATCTAAAATATTAATATATTTACACAAGTCAAAAAAAATAAACAGAAAGTTTTAAACAACTCGCGTTTTGTAAACAAATTGTTGACAAAGTCACTAAAATAACCACCAGATATTGATATTTACTATGTGAAAACTGCATATTGAGTTAAAATATCTTGATTTATGTTTTCAAGAAAAGCGAATAAACAAGTCAATAATTTATGATAATTTATTCAAATCAAATATTTAATCAGGATCAAGGCGGGGAATTGATGTAATACTTCAGACTTTGTATTTTTATCTTTTTATTTGATCTATGACGGCAAGCTATATAACACGGTGATGATATCAATAATGTCGTGTGTTATACAGGGTATGCCTATTCCTTCCCAAACCCCTGTCCAGTTAATATTTCCCTGGGGTTTTTTCTTGTCATACCGTAGCCAGTTTATAGCATTTCCGCGGAAATTCAATTCAATCGTCACTCCAGATTTATTAGATACATGAGGGATTATAAATAGGTTTTTGAAACTCTTTATGGGTACATTGGTATCACACGCAGTATATTCGACGACAAAACACTGGCGAAAAATGGCTCATGCTCAGTATTAGTATATATTACTTGAAACATGTTTATTTTCTCTGACACATCTCAGTATGATATATGAATTACCACAAAATACATACGATGTGGTTCCTGAATCCGTGTCCCAAACCGCAATTGGTACAAAACTGCTCCTGATTGTCGGTCCGAAATGGTGAAATGGCAAGCACTGAAAATCTTTAAAGAGGCTACCCTTTAACATGGGATAAAACCAATTTTAAGCTTTCCTATCACCTTTTAGAATAAAACTATGACCATTAAGGCTATGTGCAACGGCGCATACTCGGCAAGTAACACAGTTTGAGGTGAACCACGACAGCTTTAGGTAAAAATTGGGTTTGGTCGGGATTCGGATTCTGATCGTATTATTATTGTTAAGATACATTATAAGAATAAATGCAAAATTAGAATTTTTTTTTTAATAACAAAAATAACAAAATGTATATCCGATACTCAGCAAAAAATAACAAATTACAAAATCTATAACAAATCAAAAGCATAAATAAAATAAGTGAGCATTAAAAATTCAATCTTTATATTTCTCATGAACATAAACACCCTTCTTTTATGCACTGGTTCACTAAATTGTTAAGGCATGACATACAGTGGCGCTTACCTACTCATAGTGGCGATATTCACCAACTGGAAATGCATACAGGGAAATTGTTTTTTGGCAGAATGTTATCAATAACTATAAGGAACGCTTTTTAACCTGTCTTTGAACCGATATAAAAAGGATCAGAAAAATAATAAATAAGGCTTCCATCTATAGGCGTATGGGCCAAAGATCTGTTGGGAATCAGGTTAGGTTGAACAAAATGTTCCCACGAACTTTACTTGTATTTTTCTTTCTCCTACGCCTATGTTTTCATCTACAAAACAAGTCAAGAGATAGGATGATGTCCGCTGTGTCCAACAACATTCTGTTTAGAGTTTTGATAGAGGTATGACAAATCATCTATATCATTAAAATGTGATCACAACAATTCATTACAATTTGAAAATATCACAAAACGTAAATGGAAGCAAATAATCTTTATTGAAGCAGTTGAAATTGCATTGATAATGTTTAGATGGTGTCTGAATGACCCTTCAAAAATAACAAAAAAATTCTCTTACATACAGACAAACACAAACATTCCACCACTCTGAAAAACTCAAAATTATATAGCTATAGTTTAACGATCCTGTAATTTAGTGATTTTTAATCAAACTAAGCCCACATTTTACTAATAATGCATATGATCACTAAAATAGCAGAAATATATTAATCTTTAAGCTTGAGATAATTCATAACATATCTCTTAAGGAAGCAATGTTAATCGTATTAAGTCCTGTAATTTAGGTTTGGAGTTTATATTGCACATATTCATACCCAGATGTCCATTATATTTAAAGAAGAAAGCACACAAATGAAAAACACACACTACTGTATTTAAATCCACCATTATTACTGTTGTTTCTCAATAGCTTGATGTATGTTACTCAATTTACATGGTGTTACTTAAAGGTGATATCTCAGATAGAAAAGTTGCTAATCCCAGATAGAAAGTTGCTAATCCCAGATAGAAAAGTTGCTAATCCCAGATAGAAAAGTTGCTTATCCCAGATAGAAAAGTTGCTAATCCCAGATAGAAAAGTTGCTAAACCCAGATAGAAAAGTTGTCAAATCCAGATAGAAAGTTGCTGATTTTCATATTTCAATGAAATTGCCAACAAGATGTTCTATGTGCAAATAATTCACACTCAAAAATGTAGAGAAATTTATATTTTACAAATATCAGATCTATCTGGGATGGCTACATCAAACATATTCCATATATTTTGCAGTCATTGTTGCTTGTATCTACACCAAATTCACAAACCATTTATAATTAATAAGATATCTATTGCTCTGTGACCTAGGGCAATGCTTTCATTAAACTAACCAGTAATAACATATTCCCTTAACATAATGGGCACTCTTGTCTAGAAACACAATATTTATGGAATGCATGGCCTGAAAAAATAATAAAAATCAGCATTTCAAGACAGTTATATCACAGAAATAATAACACCTGAATTACTTCCCTTTATACAAATTTTCATAATTTTGTATTTTTTAATAAATAATGCTAAATATTTCATCTTAATCCTGCAAGTTTTAGAAACCGATCTCGTTCCCATTTTCCAGCCATGTCCTGTCTATACCATCATATAGTAATTTACTTACCACATTGAAAGATGAGAGTTCCAGGTTCCATATGGCTGACAGTTGTATATAGATATTGATTACAATTACTGCACTCACTGAAATATACCGAAAACAATTAATTCATTAACAGAAATACAAATTACAATTACTACATTCACTGAAATATACAAATTACAATTACTATATTCACTGAAATATACAAATTACAATTACTACATTCACTGAAATATACAAATTACAATTACTATATTCACTGAAATATACAAATTACAATTACTACATTCACTGAAATATACAAATTACAATTACTATATTCACTGAAATATACAAATTACAATTACTACATTCACTGAAATATACAAATTACAATTACTACATTCACTGAAATATACAAATTACAATTACTACATTCACTGAAATATACAAATTACAATTACTACATTCACTGAAATATACAAATTACAATTACTACATTCACTGAAATTTACAAAATTACAATTACTACATTCACTGAAATATACAAAATTACAATTACTACATTCATTGAAATATACAAAATTACAATTACTTTATTCACTGAAATATACAAAATTACAATTACTACATTCACATTGATTCATCTTATGTATGCAAATAGTGATTGCAATAAGTGTATTCATTGAAATTCTGGATTCAAAATACAAACTTGGACAATTGTTAGGACAGACAATCTAGTATCAAACAGACATATTTTTATTGTGAAAACAGTTAATATTTTGCCCTAGTCATACCAACCTGTTTATCTGTGCCTGTATTCCCCAATGACATTCAGCATCTTCTAAACCAAGTTGTATCACTCTTCCTGGTGCTGATAATCTGGAAAACTGGCAAAAAAGAAAAGTTATATAGTATTAATTGCCCCTGACCTCACAAAGAATTGAAACACATCCTTAAGAAATGAAAATCATTTTCTGCTTTACACTTTCAAGATTAAGTTTCCTGGATGCATAATTAAGTAAAATTATCTGAGCGGCCTGTGAAGCATCTGTTACCAAGTGACGTCAAATAACATGAATGTGGTATGCTTTAAATCATATTTCTTGGATAACTACTGAAGGTGAACCTCTGAATCAGACAGTTGTTTCCAACTCTGCAATTACCATTATCTAACACAAGAATAATGTTTTAAGTTATCTACATTATTCTAATACTTACATCTGTTTGATAACTAGAAGATATAGTAGAATCAGTTAGTATTCTGACACTAGATATCTCACCATTCACAGCATAGTGTATCTAAAATAATAATAAAAGTTCCCCTTCAAATACATAGGCCTAATATAATTCAATATATATAGTATAATTGACATTACAAATATTATTGAACACCTTTGTCTGATTCAAAACATGAACATAAGCAGTTTACATTATTCTGGGTAGAATAAATAGAAATTGCAACTAAACAAGGCAGACTTATTCTGTCCATTGCTACATACGCCCACCAACAGCTTTGAAAGCAACTATAGTTTGTTGTCCATTCACATTTGATTCGTGTTTAGTCTATAGAAAATTTCAAATAAGGTTTCAATGAGCAAAAATATATTTGTTGGACTATACACCTATGTCAATATAAATATTATAAAAAAAATATATTTCAGATATAGCAGAATGTGACTTATCCTGTTTGCAACTTTAATACAGAAATTTAAACACTGAATATTATTACTAACCTGAGGAGCCATATTTTGAGGTTTTTTAGACCATAGATATGTATTTAACTTCTCTAACATATTATGTATCACTACACTAAAATACACAATATATAAATATTAAGACAAATATCTTAATTTCTGCATCACTTTCTAGAATGAAAACCTTTCTGTAAAACTTCACAGAATGGACACATAACATCTAACTTGCCTTCCAAAGATCAAAAATAGTATTGGTCAATCACGAAGGCACATGACATCATAAATCATCACCAAACAAAGTGAGCTACAGCCCGAATCTAAAATCCTTACCCTTGCTGTGCTTGAGTTATAGCTTTACAAATACATTTTTGATAAAAATCATTTGACAAGCTTCTATCATCTTCTAGGCTGAGTTCCTGCAACATGTTAGCAGCTACATGTGGACCCAGATAATCTACTAATAATAATGCAGTATTCTCTAGTGTTAAAGAAGGTATAAAATCAGGAATTGCTGGCACCAAACACGTTTTAGAAACATTATCTGATTCCAATGATAGAACTTCTTGTAATAAACATTTCCATTCTCCTGTGGATTTAGGTGTATAACCTGAAAATATAAATCAAGTGTTTGTGGCATTCTCTGTGGGCATACACTGGTGCCTTGCAGACAATAAAACAACAAATACCAACCAAGACTGTTCATGTGCCCGCATCATTACAGGACATTGTGGAGCTTCAATTAAAACAAGACTAAAAAAGATATCATTTAATTTTAGGAGAAGGTTTATAAATTTTATAATTTGTCCTTATCCTTTTGTTTGAGACAATAAAATATGTTTAAATCAACAATTATATTTAAAGTTCTGTTGGTAAAAATACTCACTAAAATCATTGTTTGTACATAATAAATCAATATCGCCAAGACAACAAATTAAATGCATGACATCTCTCCATCTTATATCTGTATCTATTAATCTTAAATAACCCAACCAATACCTGATAAATATATATATATATAAATCAAAGATAGGTTCCCTTATTTTCATTTATGAAATGCTAATACTTATATGAATAGTAAGTAGAGGTGTTCTAATGACTTGGAAAAATACCAGTTTGTCACACATGTCCATTATTAATTCATAATTAGCTAAATTAGAAGAGAATTACAAACAAAATTCCAATGAGTGACCGATCAAGAAAGATCAAAAAGTCTTTTTTTGTTTATCCAGACTGTACATACATGAATATTTATGATTGGCTAAAACTCTTAATCATACGCAATAAGAACATAATGATATGATCAAACATGAAATTCCATGCTTGAAGAAATATCCAAAAGTTTAAGAACAGTAAAAACCAATAAACAAATGGTAGCATGGATTTTGGTAATCCATTAGGTAAAGGTGCTCATAGATGGAGTTATCATTTCCAGAAATAATATCAGGTACCCAGTTCCCTTTGGAATGTTAAAGATGTTAAGTTTAATAAATGCTTTTTTTTGTAATAAAAAAATTAATGAAAATCAAGGCCTTTCATTCTTTAAAAGCAAAAATATGGATCAAATCCTCGAAAAAAATGGAAGTGGGAAGTTCCTCTGTAGGAAAAATGGAAACCACTAAAACTATCTATGTGGGAATTGGTATTTTCGAGTGAGCAACCCAAGTTTCTGATATGTGACGTATCAATGTTGTGCAGTAAATTTGAATTATATGTCAAACACATGTGATAGTTATTACAATTTATAAAGATAAAGTATATTTAACAACGGGGGTATCATGTGCTTAAAATACACATTATCTGGTGAAAATAAATCAAATTACCATTTTAATTAAGGGATTAATCAATCAGGCAATGATAAAATAATTATGTGATGAGATTGTTACCAACAATCAAGATACAAGTAATGATAGATATTTTGTTGATTTATGGTAGAGAATTTGGACATTGAAAATGGTAGGCCCCGTGAAAATTTGGTCAAGATAAAAACAAAGATAGTGGACAACAGCCATATACGCCCACCACAGCATGCGGATGGTATAAACGAAACATCCATTTTAAGTTTCATCAAAATCAGTTGAAAACTAAGAGAGTAATGGCATATTCAAGATTTTGGGGCAAGGGCAATAACTCTGCTTCTAACAGTCGAAAATAGCTCAAATTTGAACTTGATCTTCGTTTTATAAATAAGTATACACATACGGAGTGTTTACAAGCAATTGATGTTGATAGAAGCACTTACTGTATAGAGGTTAAAAGGCGATAACTCCCCAAAACTGACATAAGAGGACTAAATCATGAAAAAGCCTTAAAGTTAATCAGAAGTAAACTAAACTTTCTCAAACTTTTCGATTTAGGCTCAATAATATTCATTTTAAGTTACAACAAAATCGGTTGTAAACTAAGAGAGAGATGTGGGCGTATAAAAAATCAGTAGAATTGGGTATCCCGTTGGTAGAGCGGTGGACAACATGCAAAAGCGGTAGAAACCTGACAACATCGGTAGATTACACATGTATGGCATAAAAATATCTGATTACATTTGAATTCTGTACATTAAGTATAAATCATTCTATAGAAATCTATATCAATCATGAATATAATCCAGTGTTATAAACATCAATAAAGTAATAACAATCTGAGATAAAAGGTTATCATTATGTTTAATGATACAATCTGAATTATTAATGAATGTTAATGACAAGGAACTGTCAGGCTTGTCATCATAATTGACATAGTCCAATTCATACGGTGGATCAAAAAAATATCATAAATCATAGATTTTTACATTAAACAGATATTGTGGCATATACCAAATAATTGCAAGTTTAATGTATAATGTATAAAATGCACTCAATCTCAACCTCCAGTGTATCTGGAAAAATCTGATGTTCAGAGGACTTTGTCCTGTGGGGTACAGATATGCACCTTTGACAAAATAGCGGATTGTCAATATTGACTGGGAAGCCTCTGGTGAAAAATTCAAAATTTGTTGACACATTGTATAATGTGTAAGCCCTTAATAGGATTAAACCTCTATACACGAAAATATACAGTAGGTACCTTCAAATTTCGTACTTATAGTAATAATGTTAAGATTCAATCTTATAATGGTAATGGTCAAGAGCAACTCTTGTGGTCTTTTCAATTCTATAAAAAACACTGTTTGCTCAGTATACATTGTTTTTAAAAGATAGTAATTTTCCTATTTTTTCTCAGGTATAAAAGGAGTTTAGGTCAACTTTACATTGTCATCAATGCAATTTTCAAGACCAAATCACTGCTCTTCAAGACTTTAGGACTTAGCCTCGGAAAGTGTGATCCATCTGGATATGAAAACAAATGAGGTCAACCTCAGTAACAAGTACAGAAAATTGTGCCCTAACGAATATATGTCTTTGAGGGCAGATCTACAAAAGTGAGTGATTTCACAGTGTTGTTTTTTTTTCCCACCCTAATATACACCTCTGCAGGCAGTTAATATACCATATACCTGTTGTTTATGAAATGTTATCAGTACCATTGGGAAAAGGATAATAAACTGCTTAATTAGAATCTGAATGTCAGCAACATAAAAGAAATATTTTGTGTTATGAAAGCAAGTTACAAATGGATCAAAAGAAAATTCCTCAATATAAGAGAATTTTGTTTTAACTGAAATAGAATTTAAGAGAAGTATATAACTATACATAACATCAATGAATTCCACTGCCAACTCAGCGTTAGAAACAAGGAATATTGTAGCCTTGGTATTTTTTAGTATAGAATTTATTCTCGGAGTAATTGGTAATGGATTAGTTATATTGTGTGTTATATGTCAGAAATCACAACGTAACCCAACATTTATAATTATTGGTAGTTTGGCATTGGCAGACTTGTTGTTTATCGTTGGACGTGTGTCACAGGAGATTTTACGTGTAGGTGAAATCAAAACCTATTCCAATATTATAAGCTGTAAGGCTAGTCTGTTTGTTCTACAACTTTCATCCTATCTAGCTTCCTATCATCTTGTTTTATTGGCTGTGGTTCGATACTTTTGTTTGGTTCACCCTTTTAAAGCTCAACAACTTATCACAAATTCATGGGCATTGAAAGTATCAGTTACATTATGGCTGTGTCTAATTATAGTGCTCTCTCCTTTGTTATTTACAATTGGTATAGTGCGGCAAACTAATGGCGGGAAAACAGAAACTTTTTGTACTCCAAATCCTGCTTCTATGACTGCATACAAAGATTTTGCCATTTGCTACAGTATATTTTCTTATTTTGTTCCATTGACCATGTTAATCATTTTTCATTCAATTAAAGCAAAAGTTGTAAATGAAATGACGAAGACAGTAAACAGTTCTGAAAAGAAACAAATGTCTGCTATGGTAGTGTTGGTTATTTTGTTGTTCGGAATTCTACTTTTTCCTGTTCATTGTAAAAACCTGTTTGTGGTAGCAGGGTATAGTGTGCTTACAAATGCAATGCAGAATATGGATGTTGCCTTCCGTGTATTAGCCTACCTTAACAGCTGTATCAACCCCCTTGTGTATGGAATATTGTCAAGTTCATTTCGTAAAAACCTGAAGCAATTATTTTGCAGTTGGACAAAAGGTAGAGTATCACAAATGCCTAGACAAGATACAACACAAATAACTCACTGTTAGAGGATACTTCAGATAGAATGCCAACAAGTACTTAGTTTGATAGTCCAAAAACAAAATATGACCTTGATAAACAAATGGTGGTTGAGAGTTCTAACCTCAGTCAGTATGTGAATGTCTTGTGACCTTGATTAAGTCATCTTTCCTCATTATTCTAGTTGACAAAGGTGTATGTATAATCTGGAAATATGAAGAACCAGCTTGAAGACAGGATTTTCATAAACTTAAATTGTTATATTATGTTATGATTGTTTGTTTCTTTTATTATTTCCTGTGCTGTGGTGTTTAAACTATGACCTAATCATTAACATTACATGTATATGATAGTAAATCACCATGTTAAATTGTTATTGTTCATATTAATATCCACCATTGTTATTTCTCCTGACTGTGTATCTTAATTGCTACCTGCTATTGAATAAATAATTTTATAATAATGCTTATTATTTCATTTCTGTGGTTATTGGAATAAAGAAAGTTGAAATTTTCTATTTTTTACAAACCGTTAAAATTTCAGCCACTTTTAGTTTAGTATACATGTATTAATTGGAGCTTAAGTACAAAATAACAACTAAATGAAATAGCTTATTAAAATACATATAACTAAGAACTAAAGTTAATGGCACATGAAAATAAATAGTTTTACCTTCAAGACCAACACCCTTGCTTTCTATGTCAATTTTATTTTCATATCGCATTTCTAAATTCCCTAATACTTCTATCTACCACTGTACCACTGTTATATTTTTTCGTGACAGTGTATAGCTCAGTCGATACAGTGTTGGATTGTCATCTGCTAGGTGATTAGTTACCTCATGATAAAAAATATTCTGATGCCACCAAGAAGGATGAAAACCAACTCAATGAACTTACCCATATTCTTCACAAATCATTTCAGCTTTATTCTGTTCTTGTTTATTATCAATCATATTTAATACATCATTAATCATCTTATGGTGTGTCCATTTTACAAGATGGCTACCAGGGCTGAAAGTGTAAACCATTTAAAGACACTGATAAAGATAGTGGACCACAGCCATATACACCCTTCACGGCATGCGGATGGTAAAAACGAAACATCCATTTTAAGTTTCATCAAAATCGGTTGAAAACCAAGAGAGTAATAGCATATTAAAGATTTTGGGGCAAGGGCAATAACTCTGCTTTTAACGGTTGAAAATAGCTCAAATTCGAACTTGGTCTTTGTTTTATGAATATGTATACACATAGTTTTTAGAGCATTTACAAGCAACTGATGTTGATAGAAGCACTTACTGTATAGAGGTTAAAGGGCAATAACTCCTCAAAACTGACGTAAGAGGCCTAAATCTTGAAAAAGCCTTAAATTTAATGAGAAGTAAACTAAAGTTTCTTTAACCTTTCGATTTAGGTCCAATAATATCCATTTTAAGTTTCATCAAAATCAGTTGAAAACTAAGAGAGTATTAGCATATTCAAGATTTTGGGCAAGGGCAATAACTCTGCTTCTAACAGTCGAAAATTGCTCAAATTCGAACTTGATCTTTGTTTTATGAATATGTATACACATACCGAATTTCATTCGATTCCATCAAAAAATCTAGTTTTTAGAGCGTTTACTGTTGACAATATACGTCCACATAGAGGGATGTGGGCGTATAAAAATATATATCAAGATCTAAATAAAATGCAGATTTTTATGCTTTGTGGCTTTTTGAATCAGATTGTATGGAATTTGGACCAACAACAAAAAGGTAACCTAATGCTGATCAAAAACACAGATAATTGTGGACTAGCAATATAAGTCCATGGAAATTCCTCCGATATCTTAGGAAATCATTTATAGAACTGTTCAGTTGGTGGCTTGAGTATTAAACAATCCAGAACAGGAGAAACATAACAAGTTTGTCAGATGGCTGATGGTAAGTGGTGTCACCTGCAGCATCCAGATTTGTGTTTTAATTGAATTGCTCATCTGCTATGGTTTATGACAATTTAATTCTTATTCATGTACTTTCAATTCAGTCGCAATTAACAGTGTACAATGCAGGTATAGATTTTCTAAATAGAAATTAAAATCATTTATTACCTTGGTTTATCATACTTGAATCCATCTTTTCTTGTTAACAAACATTTCAAAAGCTCTAATTTCACTTCTGGATGTTCACAAATACTGTGTAGAGTTTTCAATCTGAAAGATACAGGATGGTTATGTTAAAAGAATAAACATTTTAAGTTAACAAGTGTATATATTCATCAGTTGGACTTACCAGGTGCCATGAATAGAATCTTTAAATATCTATTAAACTAATCAATTATTGAAACACTTTAAAGCATGTTTCAAAATAACATTGTTTAATGAATTATTACTTAGTTTTATGGAGTTATTGGATTATAGAGAGACCTAGGCCAGTGCTTTCATTGAGACTCGTCTCAATACACCCTAACACCAAGTAAGTCCACTGATGAACAAAGATTCATTTTGGACAAGTTTTAAAATTTCAGTTCTGGTCATCCTAAGAGGTAGTATGCCTTTCTTCCTTGGTTAGAGGTCATGTTTGAGGTAATATTAAGCATATTATTCCAATATTCAGTAGTTATTGCGTCATAATTCTCAATCATATTCGGAGGCCTATAAAGTTGTCTAAATATTTACTTAACCAGATGAAAGAGTTCAATTTCCATTATTTGTAAGACTTTTCAGGATTAAAATCTGACAATAAATTCATCTACCATTCAATAAAAACTGTTCAGACTTTGGTATTAATATATAGAAATTGTATATAGAGTGTCACAGTATGACTGGATCAATTATAGTAGGACTGAAGTGATCTGGATGGTTGATTTATATTTCAATGGAATCAATCAGATTGAACAAATAAACATACCTATTATATTCAGGTGCTTCATTATATCTCATCATAATGTATTTGAGTAGATATTGATGTGTAGGTTTGTTATAATGGTGACAAAGATTTAAAATATCTAATGGTGAAACTTTATCAGGAACATCTTTACCAAATTCTATACATTTATATACACTCATACCAAATATACTGTAATAAAACATAATTTTTCAGAACATATAATGTCATTTTGCAATTTAGTTTCTAAGCTACTCATTTAGGTCTAAATAGTAAATATTTTCATCATAAACAAATATACTGCTCGCACTGGTGGAAATGACTGTACAAGAGGTCATTCATAAGAAATGTGTTGTCACTGCAATAAAATCGCCACCTTAACGTCTTTAAGGCTTCCTTCTCCAGTCCTAGTATCCCAAAACTAATCATATTATACATCACTAAAATCGGAATTGATCAGGTGTTCAGTGATGTCAGATAGGCTATTCATTCATTATGACATTGCCATGTTATTAATTGATGATGTCATTTGCGTTATGAATCTCACTTTCCACCTCTGTAGGTCAGGTCATGCTTACTCTTTCAGGACTTGGTATAGTGAATAGTGATAATGCCCCAGAGACAATTCTTACACAATTGACGTTTTGAGACAAAGTAGCCGTGTGTTGCTCTTTTAGACAGATCATGATCACACTTTGGATATCTGTGATGCCAGTCTGTTCAATAGTTTGTATGAATTAATTAACATCAAGCCTTTATCATACACAAAACACACAAACCTTGCATAATGTCCTAGAAAAGCATCTTTATATTTAATTATTCCAGATCGTAGATGATCCAAGGCATCATTAACATCATGTTGATTAATATACATCTTAATAGGATCTTCTTTACCTAATTCTAAAATATACATAGATTCACAATTACCAGTGTTCATAAAAAAAGAAGATTTGTCAGCAGACGTTAAAATAAACATTTTTGTCAATGTCCAAAATTTTGGCAGAATATGGCCCTTAATTCAAACATATTCTCGAAAATGATATATGCCTCAGCTTGCATTTTTTACAACACAAAAATAAAATAAGACCATGTCAATTATTTTGAAGGTGATATTTATATTCATGTGAAAATCTTTGTTAAATTAGTAAAGTAAGAAGAAGGATTGTCACGATTCTTGAAGCTGCTATTCGATACACTGAACTATAATGGTTTGTAATTACAGAATCCTATTGGTATGGTAATGAATTCATTCATAAGATAAGGAAAGAGAAAAAAGTCGAAATTCTGTCACTATTTACATTTTGTGAGAATATTTCAAATTAGATAATTGTGCAAGGAAATTCTTAATTTTTGATGTCAGAAATGATTTTTTTCTGTACAATATTTGATTTGAAAATTATAAACACAAGGATTCTATGTTAAATGAATAATGGTGCAGGTATATTGCAATAATTTTTATAATAATAATAATAAAATCTTTAATCCAACGCAATGCATCGATAATAAGAAAAGAACCACAGTTCATCGATTTATCAGTGATTCATTACATCCCTAGTAAGAAAACAATGAAATTATTACATTCCATCTTTAAATTTGACTTGACTTACCCTGACAACACTCTATCAACGTTAACCAGGTCTTAAACAATACATCCTTTTGTTCATTCAAAAATTGTCTGATCACATTTGTACCAAGAAAGGCAAAGTAACATCTAACAAACACTGAGAGTTCTTGATCCAGTTGTTGTCTAGGATCTTGGACTCTGCTAGTGCTAGCAAGCTCATGGCTTCTCATTTCCAAATCATCACACTCAATTATACAATTTGTGTCCATATACAAATAATTTAAAGAATTGGGTACAGGATGACCTTGTGTTTCTGTATTGGAATTTGTTGTCATCTGGAGTTCATGACCTTTATCTGGAGCCTCACTATGATTTTGTATGTCATGCATCATATCTGAAGCATCATTTGTTGTCTGATGCGTGTCTGGTAATGTTTCATTTTCAGGCTGAAAATCTACATTGACACTATTTGTTGACAAACAGCTTTCTGACTGACATTCACACCTATTTTGATCACCTAGAGATCTTGGGTTATCACAATTGTTTTCATCACATATTTTATGATTATCACATTGGTCTGGATCTTTATCACAATCATTGCACTTGTTTTGAGCAGAATATAAGGCATCTGTATCACTTTTTCCTTTATCACAGCATAAAGTTATTTTAGGATTTATGTAGGCAGACACATTACCATGGCAACAGGTTTGGAAGCACAATTTGGTCAGTTCAGATACCTGAGGAAATAAATCCACATCTAAACCAAATGGGTCAAATGTGTTGCACCATTTTGTATCCTGAGAACTGTCACTTGAAGCACTTGAAGCATTTGAGGAGGCACATGGTACATTTACTTCTAATGGGCTTGTTGTATCTTCATCAACATTATCAGATGTTTTTGTATTGTCGTTTGAAGAAGCGGTCTTTGCATTTGTTTCTTTCTGTAAAGTTCTAAAAGTTGTATTTAGAACAGTGACCCATTCATTGAGAGTTTGTGCTAAAAGCGAAGGATCTAACATCACTTGAATGTCCTGAAGTTTGTTTTGAGCTTCTTCTGTGGCAGAGATTAAGTTCCTAATGTCTGTTTTTGGCAGAAATATTGGGACTTCTGTTGGTTTTCCTGTTTCATCCTTTGCTCTCACAATTTGTTCATTTAATGTAGACATTACAATCTGTAGTGGAAAAAATGTATAATTATGACAGACTTTGGGATTCTTTTGGTTGAAAATAAGTTCAATCAGTTGTAAACTAGACGTGTTATTTCTTTATCAAAATGCAGTGAAAATTTCAAAATGCCATGTATATTAAACTGGATTTGTGGTGTTATTGACTTACCTGATGCTCTTCAGTTAGTGTGTCAGCAAAGCTGTTGTCTGGTACAGTAGGTGACTTTGATAGTTGACTTTTTTCTTTCATAGTTTTAATAAATGTCTTTCCTTTCTTTAACTTCATGGCAAGGCTGAAATAAATACAGATTATACTTTTATATTCACTTCCTGCTCTTAAAGAGAGCTAATAAAGACTGGCAATGTTGAAGTGTTTAAATAGGAATATTTTCCTATATTTTATATCAAATCTGTTAACAACATGAAAAGCCTGTAGTAAAACGACCTGTTGCTTTTTCATATTAGATCCTCAATGCTTCATTAACTGGGAAAATCAGGTTGAAGAACCTGCAGGTATTTTGACAATCATTATTTTTTTTACAACGTGACTGATAAGTAAAGGGGTATGTGATACCATAGTTATAGAACCTGTGAGAGCTAGCAGCATCAATAGTTTGCAGTTGAAATTTGCTGAAAACATGGAGGAATTTCAACTTGCCGTTTATTGAAGAATTAAGCTAAATACGAATGAACTTGCTTTAGTTTGACTTTTTATTAATCAACCTTACCTGTCTTTAACAGCCATTAGAGTAACTCTAGGTGATTGTGATAAACTGCCACTAGGACTATCAATAGTATTCAAACTATCTACAGAAGAGGAAGTTTCTCTCTGCTGCTCATCAAGACTGGTAGTTATCCCACTTAAAGACAGACGCTTAATCAACGGTAATACTGTTTCTGATGAGTTTTCTTCTAAACTGTTTAAGGAGATGGTATCAGAGTCTTTGAATTGCTGTTGATTTTCAGGCAGTGTGTCTGGAGTTGAAAAACGGTGGATGTCTTCCATGCTGCAGAGTGAAACAGTATCATGTTCTTGTTCTATATCTTTCCTCTTTATTATCAGACTGTTATCTAAGGCTGGTACACTCACAGATCTTTTCGTTTTTAATTCTGAATAATATGACCAAAAAAAATTTTCAATTACAAAATTGATTATCAATTATTTAGACTACTTTTTGACAATTTGACTAAAATCCAGACTTCATATTTAGTTTCCTGTCTTTAAAATTCAATATGATGAGGACTTCCTGCCATTCTATGGTTTTTTAATTCCACTAGGATTAATTCTATGATGTAGCTATTGCAAAGGCTCTTAGATAATATCAGTAGCTTATACAACAGTACAATTATTCACATCTAACCATTGCTTGAACAATCCAATAACCTCCCTTGGCAAACAATACGTCACTATTAAGTTTATCCAATCAGGAATCTCGTAACATTTGGTGTAAAAGGATGGCGATTGCAAATCTCTAGTGACGTAATATATAGGCATCAGAAGAAAATTGGAATTACACAAATGAAGAAGCCGTGGTGTCTTAAATTTCCATAAAAAATCTAAGATGCAATGTTTCTGGCAAAAAACATCAGAAGTAAAACTTTGAAACATAGGGTAAGCTTACCTCTCTTTTTAGTCTTTGATTTTACACTTGGACTTCTATTTAGGCCTGTCATTAGTTTAAAACAAAAGATATAAACATGTCATATGTGAGCAATAAAGTCATGGTCACAAATGACAACAGATATACAGGCTGTTTATTTATTACTAGTTATCAGTAATACTAATTCCCTTGTCAAAGTCCCTTCTGATTGCCAAGCTATGATATGATATGATATACTTTTTCTATAACATAGCTAGTCAAGATTGACACAGCTTCCTTTACAAGTGTAATGTCATATAGTATAGTAAATTCAATATGTCAAAGGCAATTCCATGTAACAAACCATTTGCAAACCTTTTTTAGCCTTGGAATTTCCCAAGAATAACGATTGGATGTAAAAACAGAGCAACAAATTCTATCCATACCTGGTCCATTTAATAAATCTATTTCATTTACTTTTCGTCTTCTAGAACTATTTTTAGATTTCTTTTTTACTATGATGTCATCATCTACTTCTGGAATAACTGCTACAGGTGTATCTTCAGGTAAAAAGAAAAATTAAATAACTATGACAATCTAAAAAAATCATTGTGACATGGTATAAATTTTTTTAGCTCAACCTGGACAGTGTAGCCTGGGCAATCAAACCAAAATGGAGATTTCAGTCCTAAACTGAACTTATATCATTAAAAACTCAATCTTAAAACAAATAACTTTTTATCCTCTAAAATGTTGATGAAATCCTCACCTTTATAGTTAGTTTGTTCCTCTTCTTCATTCATGGTAGATGATTGTACTGAATTTCCAGTTGAATTGTTTTTCTCACTCTCATTTGAAACAGGTTGATCTGGTTTCACAGTCTCACTGTCTTGATGATTTTCAGCAGATGACCAAATCTGTATTGGCTTTTCTCTTGAATTCTCCCTTTCATTTTGAAAAGCAAACATAGCTGAACTTGATTTTTCAACTATAAAATGCTCTTTCTCAACATGACTTGTGTTTTCTATCCCAGAATTGTTGCTTAAGAAGCTTACATTATTTGAATCATTTGAAAAATCCTGAGAAGAATTGAGCAATGATTGGTCTGAATGTTTCTTGCCATAATCTACTTCATGAGGTTCCACTTCTTTTGGTGTACTATGTGCATCAATACTAAAATCTTCAGCAGTTTCATTTGAACCATTAAAACCATCTTCATGAGAAAAGTCTATCAGTTTGGTAGTAAAAGTTTTGAACTCCTTTTTTGTGGCATCTTCAGCAGAAGAATCATCAGCTTCAATACTAATTTTTGACAATTCTGAATCATCGTATATGGAATCACAGTCAAGATCCGTAGATACGAGTGAAATGTCTGCATGGTTATCACTAGAGAGATCAGAATGGTTGAGGTTTGAAGCTTCTGAAGCCACACCTACATTCTTATGAGTATCCTCATCAGATTTCAAATTATTTTTCATTTTGTTACTTTCATGAACTCCACAAAACACTTGAGGAGACACTACCTCACTACCTGAATCACTTGTATATGTTAAATCAAATGAAGCCACACTATTAGTATCACTATGATTAGGATAAATGTGGTTTAGTTTATCTTGTCCTTCTGGATCTGATGTGGGAGAACTCAGCTGAACAATTATCAATTCTGTTAGAGAATTAATCAAGTCTCTATGTTCTTCTCTTTTTATGTTTAGGATCACATTTTTCACTGTCTGAGGAGAAATTTTACTTCTCAAATAACTGAGATAATGTTGTTTAAAATGAAAGAGTGTATTGGCTGCCAGTAACCAACATTTCTTAGTAATTAGATGATTGATACACTGTTCTAGTTTAAACAAGTAAAGATGTTCTATAGATTGATCATTATGAAATATAAACACACTGTTTTCATATACACACAAATCTTCTATATCTACAAAATATATGGAAAGAATTTAATATTGAATTGCTCACAAGAATCAAGTTATATTTCAATCAAACATTAGGATGGTAAAAACTTTCAGGGCAAATAGCATCTGTTTATTAATGGATGGTTGTTTGATGGTTATTTAACTGATATTGCAGACTAAGTCAAACCACAGTCAAGTGTGCTCCAGACTGAATCTTTCTAAAATCAGAAATAAAAAGAGTAGGAAAATGCCTCTATCCTAGCCCAATATCCCACATCATTCCTCATCTTTATTAGAGAAATGAATAGATGATATACTTTATAGAAAGACTGTTAATAAGAATTTATGAAGTATATGAAAACATACCTTGAATATCATATGACCAGAGTATAACTTTAACATTAATAGTATCAAATACATAGAGTCCAGTAGTACACCATGTTATTATATACTGACTGGAATATAGATAACATGATGTCACTCTCTGATTAGGTTGTCAACATTCTTCAAGAATACCTATATACATAGCTTTTTATCTATGGGGTATTTTGTTCAAAAAATATAGAATTTGATGAGATATGAAAATGTATAACAATTAGACTTTTTGTTAAAATTGACCTACCCAATAGTATACATTTTCTTGAAATTTACAGAAGGACTGATTACTGTAGTAGAAGAATATTCAGTTAACAGACTAGATTTACTGAAATTAAAAACATTTTTAATTTTTACCTTCTATACCCAAAATATTGTTTGCATAGACTTTTAAACAACAATAATTATTAAGCTTAAAGAGTTGATAGTAGGTTATCTATGACTTACAAAACAAGATTTAGAAAGAAATTTACTCCTAAGACCCTTGAGATACTGAAAGATATGTCAAAGCTTTCTTCAGATGTTTGTCAAGGAATTTGAGGCCCACTTTAGTGACAACTAACTTCAGGTCAATCAACAGACTGGTCCTGCTAGAACTATCAGTGCAACTCCATCATTAATTCTTCTACTAGATTTAGACTAAGTCCATGAAGTCCATAATGATTATTTAGTAACTTACTTGAAATGTACAATAGGAGTAGAGGAGATAGATAATAACTTTTTAAACTGATGAGTATTTAATACATTTCCTTCAAAATCAACCTGAAACCATCAAATTCAATCAGATAAAGTAAAGACAAATTAAAAGCAAGTCAAGATGGCTAGTTACCCTCAGAAAAAACGTGGGTGAAACATACAGATTTACATCGTAATCAGACTGAAAGTTCATTAGCTGCAACTATTGTTTCCCTTATATGTTGTTTGAATATCAGGTTTTGTTTTAGATTTGGATATTAGTACTTGCTTTATTTATTGACATACAATAAATTTTAATTTAATGATCATTTTTACCTCCCACATTCGAGAGCCAGGTCGTGAACAATATACAACTGGTATATTAGAACTGGGTTCTACAAAGAAACAGGCACCAAATTCACCATCTCTGAAAAAATACATAAAGAATTTTCAAAATCATTAATATATTTTTGTCTCTGACAACTACCTGTATTTATTTTTTTTGATTAATGTCAATGAAACTGAGTTTCATCAGCTGGTAAAGTGATTGAAATAATCTAGATTTCCATTATTTTAGAGATCTAAATGAACAATGTAATGTATATAATAACATACCTTAATTTTTTTCCAATCTGTGAATACTGGTGTCTGAAAATTAGAACCTGTATTTTACTAATTAATCATAATGCATCAGAAAAATGTAAAGGAGAAAATGATTTATTATATCAAATCAAAGTTTAGGGATTAAAAGATAAATCTACGATTAAATCTGAAATGATTTGTTTTTAAAAATCTGATGATTTTGTATACATGTTTTTTTTAATGGGAGATGGCACACTCTTCCTCTTTACAATATATTCATAACTTGATCCTTTGTCAGTCTAATAGGTCCAAATCAATATCCCCTGTTGTCAACAAAAATCCACAATATTTCTGATACTATTTCCCTTAGCATCTCTACATCATTTATACAAATACCAAACCCTTGCATATATTAACACAACAAACATAGAAACATGCATTGTAAAGTAATGAAGTCATCAGCCGATACAAGTGCAATCATTGATTCAGTCTTGTTCTTAAAGACATAATAAAAGTATGAAATCTCATTGAAAATTTGAGAAATGTTGTCAAATAATATATATTCAAATTTGATTTTGCCAATATTAACTTTAGTAATGTTCATTTAGATATATGCAAAAAGTATCATTATCAGTAAATAAAACCAAAAATATGGAAATTCAGCATTCTCGCTCCTGCTTATTGAGTTTCAACCGTGATTTCTAAAACTAGCTGTCCACTAGCATGAGAAAAAGTATAATTGGCAATAATTTTCAGTACTCTTATCAATTATTCCACTTCTATAGGCTGATTGATTATTATGTTTAAGCCATCACCATAGTTTAATTCAACTTATAAATACAGAGAAAAGTAAAGACCTCTTCAATAGATGTCAACTAGAACATGTGTCATGCAAACAAACAAACCTAGTTTTAATAAACCTAGCAGTTATACTCCTTTCAATATTTTCACTGAAAATTACATGGTCATAATAAATGATGAAGTTCGTAAATACTGTATGTTAATCATGTCTGTTACAATAATCTAATTAAGATGAAGATCCATGTGTTTGCTTTGTGATGGACTGAATATGAATGGAGTTTTACATCCTACTTTTCTGCACCATCTGGGCCAATGAAGATTTACATGATGGACTGAACTTCATGATCCATGATCTGACTAAATTGTTATAAAATTCAGGTTCAAGTCATTAAATATTAAACAAATCAAATGCTTTTTTCAATGAAAGATATTCTCCAATTATGTGTGAAGATTTCTTCACTATTCATTGTTAAAATTTTTAATATTATTTAATAATTCAAACACGCATTAAAGAATAATTTTGTGTGATTGTTGATATTAAATAGAAAAAGACAACAGTATATTAACTACAGTAATGAAATATAATGAAAATACAAGCAATTACAGTATTTATCTACTCAGAAAATGCCTTTATCAGACAAAAATATAGTAATTTTTAAAATCAACGAAGTAGACTACAAGCTTAAAATGATTTGCATAAACTACTAAAAAGACACTTAGCAATGATATGTAAAATATGATACAAATATTTTACCTTTGTGTACTAAACAAGTAGCATCTAGTTAAAGTAGAAACCAGTAATTTTTCGTGATTATAATCTATTTGTACTATAGCTGATTCTAGTCTAGCTATCATTTCTGTTGGTTGATTGAATAATACACTAGCCTGAAAACATGAAAAACTGCAAACTTTTAATTTCAACAAAAAAACATCTAATATTTCTCTAAGTTCTACAATTTAACATCCAATTCAAGACACACTTTTCTGGACATATTTCTTTTCAAAAATACACATTGGCTGTATGAGATGATCTCTTGTCAGAATTGAATTAAGGATGAAAGAATACTCCTCTTATTGACATCTCACTTCTGTTCACAATGTTGGATTGGCATGAATGTTTACCTCAAGTCCTAATAAATGTATTTGAAAGTCAACCACATTTTCAAACATAATAATGATTTCATGTCCAAAATGGTAATTACCATAGCAACATCATAATCTGTTCTGAAAAAAGTATTTCTCAAATCACAATAACCACACAATAATTCTTTACCTTGGTAAGAGGAACATGAGCAACTGTAACTTTCCCACTATTGTCTCCTATAAACAACTTATTCCCTGTTTTATTCCACTGTAAAGTAGTAACAGTATAACCTGCATGATCATTGCTCAACCTCACTCTCTCAGGTTTTAATCTCTTCTCCAAATTCATCTCCATGACAATCACTTGTCCTGAACTAAAATGAAATGAATAATTATCACATTAACTCACCTGTTTGCATTTTTATCATGTACTCATAGTCTAAATATTGTCCACATTGACTTTGGGCTCAATGTGCTTTACTGATGCGCACTTTTCAAAATTATACTTGTTGAAGCAAAACAAATCTATAGTAACCAAATAAATTGGAAACTGTTTTTGAAAGTGATGAAAATTTGATTTATCTCTTAGTTTGAGAATGTGGCTTCACATATGTCAATTTAACTAAAATGTTCATTACCTGGATAGCATTGAGCACCACCCTACAAGATTATTAAATCTAGACTAACCTGGTTGTAAAGGCCACATGATTGTCAGTTGCTTGACTTAATGAAACAACTCCCACTGATGATGATTCCTATAAGAAAGACATCATCATTAGATAAATAAATAGGATATCATTATTATTTTCAAAATCTAAAAAAAATATGTCATTATATACTTTGATTTTAAATAACAATTAAATTGTTATACATGGACCAAAAACAAAGTGAAACATTAGTGAGAGAATATTATACATTACTTTCCATCAAGTTTGGTAATGTTCCATAATTTACAGGACTTCAATCTAATAGTGAAACAATTAGTCAGAAGCACCAATAAATAAAATTCAACTGTTCAGACATACAAGGTGTAGCTGGTATAAGGTTTTATAAGAGATACTCTCTTATGCTGGTGAAAGGCATGCTAACTCTATATGTTGCCACTCTACAACTCATTGATTTTATAACTGAAGAGAGTTGTCTATACTCACCACTTCCCCAAATATAACTTGTAAATACTTGAGTGTATCTCTGGTAAATATATAAGCTCCACCAGTATTACTGCCTAATGCTATATATTTCTTACTCACTGACATACATGTATACTGAAATTACACAAAACCACTGTTTTGATGTCTTGACAAATTTCAATTTCTAAGATATCTAAGAAAAACAACATGTTGTGTGACAAATGGGTATTTTAAGGAAGAGCGCTGCCTTATACTAAATCTTTTGATCCGTTGTTCTCACTTTATAAGAAGAAAAAAAACAAAGGGATTTGATCAGCTACAATATTTTTGTTTGCCACTTTCAAACTCATCGACAACGGCCTGTTAAGTTTGACTATTATCTCCAATACATTTTGCTTTTGTAATAGTGTATATAGTTGGTCTATATATGTTGTATGGTGTATGTTGCTCAGTTGGTGTATGTTGCTCAGTTGGTGTATGTCCTTGTGTTTGTTTATATGTACTGAGTTGTTTTTAATTGAATTTTGTCTTAGTCATTAGTGTTCATTAGTTGTCATTTATGTTCATTTTGTTACCTCAGTGTCACACAGTTGTTCAGTTTGAGTCAAACAGGAAAGATAGGAAATTTAATATTTTATAATAAGGAAACTTCTAGGACTTAGGGTAATTATTTATTTATTTATTTATTCATTACTTTTCCTGTATATAATATTATTACTTGTTTCATTTATTCACCTAATTGTAAATATATTTCAGAGTTTTGTTCACTTGAACGGTTAAAGAGTTTCTACAAACAGAATTATGAAGTTATCAAATGACGTCTGTAAATAAACTTGTATATATAAAGCTAGTCTATTAATATATCCTCTTCCAAAGAAAGAACCCCGTTACACTTTAATTGTCCATATACCAGTTGTCCTATTTTAATTGTAAAAAGTTATACAGGCAGCAGTAATTAAGATGTATCATCTGGTACAGAAAGTTTATACCTTAACTATACCTCAATAACTGATAGGCCTACTTACCCTTAATCGTGCTGATCTGTTCAGTGGTGCATTGAGTTCCTCCATTGGAGAAAGCTCTGCTAATACGTACAGAGGAGGCTCCATTTTTCTGTCAAAATCTGACTAAATAACTATCAAAATCTGGAATATTGAAATATCATTGAAAAGTTAATAAAACTGTCAAAAGACAAAGCAATATAAGTTGTATTTGGAACCATTATCTTCCAAAGAAAAACGAAAAAGGATAACCGATTCAATACCAATTTGATGGTTGCATTAACTAACTTGTTGTTTATACTTACACTTAAACTTACAGACTTCATCGACTGTACATCGACTTTACATCGACTTCAAGTCAGCAGAGATCAGCCTGATAAGTAGGCTGCTCTCCTCACTCTCCTCTCAGAGCAGATTTATCAAAAGTTATCAGTCAGTCTCTCTAGGTATCAAGTCAACTAAAACGAAAGAAATGAATTCTTACATATACCTTTAGCCTAACCGCTGAGCGTAAAGCATTTGCCTTAAAATATCGATTATTTTTCCCTTACCTACCACTCTGCCATTTTGTCATCATGTGACTTTACAAACCAAAACTACCTTCTTTACCATAAGAGTGTATCAAGGACATCATAAAAAACCAGACTACTACAAATTTCTAAAAAATTTGCACTTCAATGTTCTTGATCTTCTTCATCTTTCATTTCGAAATTTGTCGACTTAGTTAAGTCTTATTTTCTGAGCTGAGAGTTATTTCACCGAATACGCTGAAAATCGGCGAATTGCACAATTTCTTTATGTAACTTTCAAATACCAGAAATGGTAGGCCTATTGTACAAATATTTGGTCATAATTTTATAGAACATAATGGGTTTTAGATTTCTAGTTAGGTCTTTGTCATAGTTGATATTTTTGGGGGTCCATGTTTTTGTTTTTTGTTAGTTTAATATCAACGATTCTTAGTTTTATTTAAAAAAAAATTGTCGCAGAGTGTATTAGAATGGGTCTCTATTGAGTTTTGGTCCAAAACCTTATATTTCTTTAAAGTAATTTCATTATTATAATGGTATTAATAATTTTATGATGACAGAATTTTGATGCACAGTCACAAAGATTTCTTGAAAAAAGCAAAAAATGGATTGCGGATGTCATGTAAAAATGTCTCATAACTCATGATGGAGATTATTTAGTATGTGTCCTACAAACCCAAAGGGCCATATTATGCAGCGCTCGTACTTTATCCAAACTTTGACTAAAGTTAGACTTAAGTCGAACTTTAGGTATGCACCGGTCGATCTTAACGAAAGTCGTGCTTAAATTTGACTATCAAATGTAGAAATGAATCCTAACTTTGTAAAGTTCGACTTAAGCCAAAGTTGAACTTTAGTCAAGGTAAGTGCGCTGCATACGGTCCAAAGACACAGATATCTGCCTTTCACATTTTTATACGCCCACACATAAGATGGGCGTATATTGTAATCACCCTGTTGGTCCGTCCGTTCACATTTGGTCCGTGCTCACTCTACAGGCTACAATTTTTTACAGATTTTTGAATTTGAATTTGTGTGTCAATGTCATTATGAAGATGATCCCTATCGATTTTCGTGATGATCGGATAATTTTTCACCGAAATATCGTGTCTGACTTGACGTTTAAAGGTGCATTTAAGGTGGGTTTATACAGAGCGCGAACGCGAACGCGACTTTTCATCAGTTCAGTCATTCAAATAGAGCGCGAACACGAACGCGGAAAACCGTCGACGGCTTTCAATGCGGATCGCCTCTTTTGTTGTTAAAATTTGGTCATATGGTCATTTTGGAATCATCTCTCCGATTCCCTTCCAAATATCTTTCTTTTTTACTGTCTCTTTGTAAGTTTTTTCAGCTTTGTCAAACAAAACTGGATTCTTTTCAACTTCTAAAATCAAAACTTCCGTTTTATCCATTGTTTGTACCCTACAAGCAAATTGGAAAAGCCATGTGCACAAGTTTCTATTTTAGGAAATGATGCAAGGGAGGTGGTACAAGCTGATTGGTTGATAGCATGAAATCCGCCGCGACTTTCTGAAAAATTCGCTCTTGGGGCATTCTCGGCGGTCGACCGCGCGAACAAATATTTGTTCGCGTTCGCATTCTATTTGAACGGTCCCTCTATAAAATGATGAAACCATTCCATGACGAAAAACCGCGTTCGCGCTCTGTATAAATGCACCTTTATACAGAACGCGAACGCGACTTTTCATTAGTTCAGTCATTCAAATAGAGCGCGAACACGAACGCGGAAAACCGTCGACGGCTTTCAATGCGGATCGCCTCTTTTGTTTTAAACGAAGTGTCAATTAAAAAGTAATTAATTAATGAATTGTTATTTTCTTTATAAGTTCCATACCATTGATGAAACAGGCAAAATAAATTGAATTTTTTTTAATCACACACCTGTCAGTCCAACCTTCTCTCCGATTCCCTTCCAAATATCTTTCTTTTTTACCGTCTCTTTGTAAGTTTTTTCAGCTTTGTCAAACAAAACTGGATTCTTTTCAACTTCTAAAATCAAAACTTCCGTTTTATCCATTGTTTGTACCTTACAGCAAATTGGAAAAGCCATGTGCACAAGTTTCTATTTTAGGAAATGATGCAAGGGAGATGGTACAAGCTGATTGGTTGATAGCAAGAAATCCGCCGCGACTTTCTGAAAAATTCGCTCTTGGGGCAATCTCGGCGGTCGACCGCGCGAACAAATATTTGTTCGCGTTCGCATTCTATTTGAACAGTCCCTCTATAAAATGATGAAACCATTCCATGACGAAAAACCGCGTTCGCGCTCTGTATAAATGCACCTTAACTCTATTAGCTATATTGTGCAACTCGTGCTCACTCTACAGGCTACAATTCTTTACAGATTCTTTTGATTTTGTTTGTTAATGTCATTATGAAGATGATCCCTATCGATTTTCGTGATGATCGGATAATTTTCACCGAAATATCGTGTCTGACTTGACGTTTCACTCTATTAGCTATATTGTGCACCTCGTGCTCACTCTACAGGCTACAATTTTTTACAGATTCTTTTGATTTTGATTTTGTTTGTTAATGTCATTATGAAGATGATTGCTATCGATTTTCGTGATGATCGGATAATTTTTCACCGAAATATCGTATTTATCTGATTTTAATGAAACTTGATGTGATCTAATGTATATTGATATTAAGTTTGAATTTGACGATTTTTCGATGAACTGTCTTTGAGTTATTGTCCTTAATTTGACTAAGATAAAATGTTTCAAAATTTAAACACAATAGAGACTACAGATTTCATTGTGATTTTTATGATGAAGGAAATGAAATGGAGTTTTATATTGATGAGATTTTGATCATGTTTGAATTTTCAAGGATTTCACTCTTAACAATTTTTTGCCCGTGATATTAGAGATGTGTGATTTAACTTTGGTGTATTTGGGTTATTGATATAATGATCTTAAAAAATTTTGTGGAATTACTCGCACAAATAACTGGAAGTAAATATATATATTATTGAATTCAAATTTCTTTAATATGAGAACATTTATACTTAAGTCGCTAAAAATGTTTTATCATTTCTGACAGTTGCTAGTGGACGTATGTTACCTTGCCTGGCAAGCTATCTTTAAATCAGCCGGTATCCCTAATTTCAATTTATTTTTAAATTTGACAAGTCTGTTCACGGTAATAACAAAGTCATCATTGTCCAGACCTATATGACCGTTTCTCTTTAGTTAGTCTCGATCAACTATATAACTATTTTTAGTATCCCATGTAATGACCTATAAATAACAGCTTATTGATATGTTGTGGTGCAACCTAGCTGAAAGAACAAAATCCGCTGACAGTCCAAAGAATTTTCATTATCCTATCGGCCTCAGAGCCGTCACGTGAAGTCGCATAAATTCAATCAAGAAAAAATTTCATCACTTATACAAAGTAATACAGAAGATAAGGGAATGGAGGTCCTTACTCCAAATTCAAAATACGAGACCATGGTATCATATGAAGAAAATTTCTACAATGAGGAAGAATTGGAAATGGAATTTATGACAATTCAAGAAAATGCCATCATGATTTTTCAATTCGAGGCAAACATTAATGCCAAAGTAGAAGATTCCCAAGAAACCAAAGATGAAGGTGATGTTAATATTCCAGAAACTGAAATAAAAGAAGAAAGCTGTGAGGATAGTGAACTGTTTGAAAGTGAAACTGAGAAGTCATTTACTGTTCTTGCACCCAAAAAACAAAGAGAAGCTGCTCAGAAGAAATTAAAAAAGTCTAAAAAATCAAAAAAGAAAACAACACACAAAGTGAAAAAATGGACAAGTGTTGATAACTCCTATATTGGAATAAATTTAACATTATTTCCACGACCAACAAAATCCACAGAATTTGAAGGGGACATTGATAATATTTTAAGTGATATTAACAAGGAATTAAATAATTTTGAAAAGCTAAGTGCTAAGTTCCAACCCATGTTAGAGTTAGAAAGTGACAATAGAAAAATGAAATATATACGTAAAGACAGGCATAGGAAAATTCAGAAAGCTTACAAACAAATTAAAACTAAATATGGACGTAGTCTTCGAAATAACAAGGGTCATAAAAAATTGTTCATCAATCACAGAGTGAAAGCAAGAATTCAACTAGATGTAGAAAGAATATATCTTCATTTACCCAGTAATTCTAAACACCCTGCTACTGAATCAAACAGTAATACTGATACTAAAGCTCAGTCACAGAAGCATAATCGCCACTGGCAGGACCAGAACCGCCCAGCACCAGTTCAAAATCTAGCGTATGCCTTAGACACTGGAAACAATCCTACAAATTTTGAAGAAAATACTTTATCCTTGTTGATAAATTTACAACATCGTGAATTAACTCCAGAGGACTATGAACTCTTATCTATCTTAGATCAAAGTGTTGCACCGAAAACTGTATCTCAAACTATTATTGATGGTTTCAAAACAGCTGAAGTGACAGAATCTCTTGCTGGTTTAACATGTTCTGTGTGTTTAGAACTGTATACAATTGGACAAACAGTCAAATATCTTCCATGTGGACATGACTTTCATAGCCAGTGTATTGAAATGTGGCTAAGTAATTCCTCTATGAATTGCCCATTAGATGGTTTACCAGTGGATAATTGACTATTTGTGGCGTTAATCAAATTATTATTTATTTGTGATAATGTTTTATTCAAATTAAATTTGATAAATATTATATTCAATTGTATTTTTTTAAAGGTACATAAGAGTTTAAATATTAGCTCGATCCACTGATCGAGTTTAGTTTAATTTCAAATATCCATACATTTAATTTTTATTAAATTGCAAGAAAAAGGAGCTGTATATATATTTAAGTACAGATATTTTTCATATCAAGTTAATGGTCATAACTGTCCTTAAGATTGTTGATTACTAATCAAAAAGGTCTATATAACACAATTATTGACATAGTGCCAAAACCTTTAAACTCTGCAAAATATTATTTTCTCATTTGTTCTTGGAGATTAAAGATAAGGAAATAGATTAATGGATTAGGTACAATTTATACAGTTCAAAAGGTAAATTAGAATGTCCTACCCAAGGTTAAATCCAGTGAGGCTTAACAAAGACACTGACCTACTCAAATACTCCATGTTTCTTGCTAATAATAGTAACTACCCTTATATGATATAAGCTCAGTCCAGTAAAAATATATAATCGTATCCAGGTAAAATTACAGACATAATCAAAAGCTGTCCAGATTATTTTCATGTGGTGTAAATATCAATTACTGTATGTGCTACCAAAAAATATGGAATTTTCCCTGTATGTGACAAATATCTCAGCTTGACAGTAACTGTCCTTGATATAAGATAGGATGTATTGTAGGCAATGTAATGGTAGGATGAAAAATGTCTTCATCAGTTTTACAAAAATAAAAATCATAATAGTTTTTACTTTTGCAACAGAAATTTGGAACACTTAGCTTAGAAATTTTCTCAAAAATCATGTCATCAAATTTGAAAGTTGTCTGTCTATAAATAATAAATTCACTAATCCAGAGATTAAGCTTTATGCATACATTGTTAATTACCTCAAAATACAAATCTTATACAACAGGTATGTAAAAATATAGATATTTATCACATAAACATTTCACAGAATTTACTGAAACAAAATGTACATGAAAATATGAAATAGGCATTCATTTATCACATATTGCTGAGATCTTTAAGGACCTGAGAATGTGAATCTTTCAGCCTTAATTTGAGCCTGTCTTTCAGACTGAGAGGCGCTGGACTGCAGTATGTTGTTTCAGATCTTGTAATATTTGGCGCTAGGGGTTTCAAAGGCATGTTGGGTTTTGAGGTTTTCAAGATCTCACATGGAGATTGTTCAAAATCAAGGAACATTTTTATGTCATTTTGAATAAATGGTATCACAGGCGAATACAATACAATCTTTGATGAACATATATCTCCTGAAGCAGAGTCTACTTCAAACACAGGGGTTGATTGGTCGATCTTCATATCTTCTTGATGAGCAGAACCAATCATATCAGTTGAACTATTTGTAGTTATGATTGTGCTTGCAGGTGATTCCACATTTGAAACCTGCAGCAAACTATTAAGTAATGATGTTTGAATCTTAAAATTGCCAAAATCAAGATCAGCTGTCCTATTCAAAAATCCAATTGAATTTGGAGTTTTCAATTGGTGGGGAGAAAGGAAATTGTTACAAGGTGTAGATATATTCCTACTTCCTTTTTTAACAGCACTATATAAGACTTTCTTGGCTAAATTGTTCACACTCGGAGAATTTTCCGTATCTTGCAAAGACATTGGAGGACTATTTTCCTTTGCAACAGACAAATTTTTCAGCGACCGAGTCAACAAATTGTCAATGACATCATCAATTCCAGATTTTGCAGACACTTTTTCATTTTCCCTGTCCATTTCATCATCCTTTTTCTTCAAAGATGTGTATTTGTCATTTGAAGCATGATGAAGAAGTACTATTTCTGATTGAGAGTTTGACCCATACAAAGGTTCCTCAATAGTTTGAGAATCAAGAGCTGTTCCACTTACAGAATCATCTAACAATAAAACATCCTTTTTCACAGATTTATTTCGCTTTTTCAACTTCAGTTTCTTTGCTTTGGATGTTTTCCCACTTACATCTGCATGTTTAAGTTTGACACCATTTGCCACTGGCTGTTCATTTTCCCTTTGGCTTTTGGGAATGTCAGATACAGAGCTGCTAACAATTTTTTGAGGTTTTATACTATATATTGTATCTAAGCTTGTTTCACTGTTTGACTTGGAGCATTTATTTAGGAAACTAAATTCTGGCACAGGTATATTGTCAACTTGAATGTGAATGTTTTTCTGTAAAACTGTGTCTGCTAAAATCTTTAATTCATTCTCAGAGCTACTTTTCACAGAAGCAGCGGTCTCACATTTTTCAAATTCTACTCCTAGATGAAGGTTCTTTGACACCATGTGTGAATCCATATCCAAATTTTTGATACAATCAGCTGGATGCATGTCTAAATCCTTAACACAATTTATTCTACATTCAGAGCTAGAAGTGTTACCTCCCTTGATCTTCTCCCTTTCTAATTTCCGTTTGATCCTGACAGATAATGGAATGAAGACATCATCATCAACATCCATTATATCATCAGGAACAATCACTTCTTTGGACACTGATGATGATTCTTTCTTTTCAATAGTCATTTTGCATGTACTCTCAAGCTTGCTGCCTTTTGGTTTATATGCTTTTGGCTTTACTGATATCAAATCATTAAGTTTCTCAACAGTCTCTAACACTTTGTCTAATTGTTTGGCTTCAGGAGGCACTGGCTTCACAGTTTCTGTATTGATTACACCAGTGCATAAGCTTGTGGATTCTAAGTTTGATGCAAGATCATCCATTTCTGAATCTTTCTTGGGTTTTTTCTTGGAACCTGGAATAACAATTCAAATTTTGATTTTACACCCAAAGTGACAGTTAAATTTTTTTTGACAGATTTAAGATTTTTTGAGACAATCTTTGTCTAATTTACCTTTTTTCTTGTTCTTCTTAGCCAGTTCTAGATTAGTATTATATTCAGAGACCAATTGTGGATAACATTCAGTAAATAATCCTTGTTCTTCAACAGTTGTATAATATTCACAGATTGATGTCTTGTCCCATACTGTAATAAGTTATTAAAAAAAAAATAATAATGTTGAATACTAATGTCAATTTAAAACTTGTCAAATCACTTCAGTAATTACAGTTTTCAAGGATACATACCATCTTTATTCCATTCCACTTCAAAACATGGTATAAAATGTCTTACACGACTTTTAACTATTCTGAAAGGAAAATAATAGTAAAAGTAATAAATTTTCACCACTCCAAGTACAAGGGAAATTTTGCATTTAACTGAGTGTTTCTTTATATCTTACTTTATGAAATCAATTGTTTTATAGTTTCTTCCAAAAACTAGAGTCTTAGTCATGCTGGAAATTTCTTTCCAAAATATAAGAAAGCCTATGTTTTGTTTACTGGCAATTTTCCTAACTCTTTAAAGAATCCGGACTTTATTTGTTATCAACCTTATCATATTATGAGTAATGTTAAAAGAAAACCTACCTGTGTGGTTTGAGTTGTTTAAAAGAAGGTCCATGTTGTTTATTGTCCAACATACTCCATAATGTAACCAAGGGTAATACTTTCTCTAGAGTATATTCTACAGGCCAATCTAACTTTCTGCTACCAAATTCCTGAGAAGAAAACATGGAATGAGAGCCTCCTATCTTACCAATCTGATCAAATAATAACAGATAGTTATTCAATTAAATTAAATGGATATTACATGTTGAGGTTGAAAGCTGATCAACCCCATGAAACACTGGCATTGGTAATGTGTTTTTTTCAATGGAGACTATAATCCTCACAATTCAATGGCTTATTTAAAAAAAAATATAACTAAGCCATCAAAATGCCGATTTACTAAGACTGTAAATTAATAGTATTTAATACAATTTTATATCTTGTATGGTGATGAACTGCATATTGTCAAAAGGACTCAAGGAAATCGATTAATATAATACTTATATATATAATACTAATAATACTATACATTAACTAATATTACAGGAATCCAAATTCAGATTTGTTACCCTTTTACCATACCTGAGATGAAGAAATATTGGCTTTCTTCCAAAGAAATGGCTTTTTAGGTATTCTATCTTTGGAAACCAGGAATTCATCAACTACTTGTTGTTGAGGAAATTCAGGTATTTTCAAGGCTTTTTCTCTAATACTCATTTCTGTTTTATCCAAACATTCACTTTTACTTATTTTTTTCCATTCTTTAAATCTGTTGACAAAATAAAAATTTGGATTTCTTTTTGGAAGGTTATTGTGGATTTTTACTTAAATGGTTGGTTTGGACAGCCAGTGAAAAGAATTATGCCAAATAGTTTCAATAAGTAATCATAAGAAGCCAAGTTTCATAATAATATAATAACCAGGCACTTAATGTAAACCCATCCTATTTTCAGAATATCTTGAGTGAACCATATATAAGGTACATCAAGTATCTCTAGAGTTACCAATACAATTGCTAGTCTTTCAAAATTAATTCAACCCAGCATAATAAATGCAAACATTCACTACCTCTTAGCTTACCTTTGAATGACATCCATGCCAGCCAATGATTTGAGCAGTTTAACAGCATTAGCCACACCCACTCCAGCTACACCACCTGGTACATAATCACAACCCAGTAATAATGAAAGTCCCACTAAGCTTTGTCTGTTTATTCCTAATTCTGTCTGAATATCTGACATACAATAGCTTTCTACATGTGGATCCTGAAATTGAAACAATAAAAATTGAATGAGACTGATTTTTCCTACATTTTGATATGAAATCCATGGACCACAATAGAGATAAATGTCTTCTGCTCATATATCTATGTTCATCTTTATAATGTCAGCTATTATGAACCTTGTACTTATATAGTCACCATTCTGGTACTATGGAATGATTGTAAAAGGAACCATTTTATTGGATGGTAACGCAAGCTAATACAGCCAGAGGCCTTGCCAGAAAGTCTGTGAACATAAAGCCATACAGCCTTTATGTCGAGGGCTCTGATTGGCTCTATTCGCCGGTGTACAATCCCCTGCATTCCGTGATCAAGAATAGTTGCTATTGTCAAGGTATTAGTGTGAATTTCTTGACAATGTGATGATAACCTATATATGTGTCCATTCAGTAACACTAATACCCCTTTAGTACAGCACAACTGAATTATTGCATTCTCTTATAACTGAATAGAAAAATCTGATTTGATTCTGTTCGGTTTGCTTTCACACTGCAATCCTATCTGGATAGCCGCTTTCACACTGCTGAGAAAGGTTTATCTAGATAACATGTCATGTTGTCTGAATTGCACTACAATTTTCTGATCTAAAATCGGAATGGGTCAACTTGATACTATAAGTGTCCCATATACACATACAAAATTTAAAAACCTCTTTACAATCCCTTTAATGGGACAACTTTTTCAATAAATAAATTAATAGGACATTTATCAAAGTTACAGATTCCACCATGTCATTTCATACTGACTTGATACAAACCTTAGAATTCATAGTAAAATTTCTGTATACAGTCTGAGCTCCATATAGAAAGGCATCACCATCATCTGTTAGACATCCATCCACCAACTGCAAATATTAAGTATTTTAAGAGAATAATATATTGGATTGTGAACCATGGTCATCTGTAAGCTGTAGGACCTGTTACTGAATATATTGGATTGTAAGCTATTGACTTGTGACTGAATATATTGGATAGTAAGCCACTGACTTGTTACTGAATATATTGGATAGTAAGCCACTGACTTGTGACTGAATATATTGGATAGTAAGCCACTGACTTGTTACTGAATATATTGGATTATAAGCTGTAGGACTTGCAACTGGATATATTGGATTGTAGGTCATGGACTTGCAACTGGATATATTAGATTGTATACCATGGACATGCAACTGGATATATTGGATTGCAACCGACGGACTTGTTACTGAATATATTGGATTGTAAACCATGGACTTGTAACTGGACATATTGGATCGTAAGCCATAAACTTGTAACTGAATATATTGGATTGTAAGCCATGGACTTGTAACTGGATATATTGCATTGTAAACCATGGACTTGTTACTGAATATATTGGATTGAAAGTCATGGACTTGCAAGTGGATATATTAGATTGTATACCATGGACATGCAACTGGATATATTGGATTGCAACCGACGGACTTGTTACTGAATATATTGGATTGTAAACCATGGACTTGCAACTGGACATATTGGATTGTAAACCATGGACTTGCAACTGGATATATTGGATTGTAAGCCATAGACTTTTAACTGAATATATTGGATTGTAAGCCATGGACTTGTAACTGGACATATTGGATTGTAAGCCATAGACTTGTAACTGGACATATTGGATTGTAAGCCATAAACTTGTAACTGAATATATTGGATTGTAAGCCATGGACTTGTAACTGGATATATTGCATTGTAAACCATGGATTTGTTAATAGATATATTGGATTGTAAGCCATAGACATGCAACTGGATATATTGGATTGTAAGTCATAGACATGCAACTGGATATATTGGATTGTAAGTCATGGACTTGTAATTGGATATACTGGATTGTAAGCCATAGACATGCAACTGGATATATTGGATTGTAAGCCATAGACATGCAACTGGATATATTGGATTGTAAGCCATAGACATGCAACTGGATATATTGGATTGTAAGTCATAGACATGCAACTGGATATATTGGATTGTAAGCCAGACATGCAACTGGATATATTGGATTGTAAGTCATAGACATGCAACTGGATATACTGGATTGTAAACCATGGATTTGTTACTGAATATATTGGATTTTAAGCCACTGAATATAATGTATTGTAAACCATGGACTTGTAAATGGACATATTGGATTATAAGCCATAGATATGCAACTGGATATATTGCATTGTAAGCCACAGACTTGTAACTGGATATATTGGATTGTAAACCAGTGAATTGTTACTGAATATATTGGATTATAAACCATGGACATGCAACTGGATAAATTGGATTCAAGATTGATGCGACTGAGTATACTGGATTGAATGCTTTAGACTTGAAAATATTGGATTGTTAACAATGGGCTTGCAACTGAATTTTATATAAAAATCTCATATAAGGCTATCATCAAGCTTTCTTTTTTTAAATCTGATATTCTGAATATGTACTTACACCAGTAGCATTTGAGGCAAGACACATAGAATTGTGACTGAATATACCTGATAGTAAGGTATGGATTTGTGACTGAATATACCTGATAGTAAGGTAGGAACTTGTGGCTGAATACATTGAATTGTAAACCAACAATTTGTGAGCAAATATAGTAGATTGTAATCAAAGGAAGACAATTTTACATCTGTTAACATATCTGATCTTCTTAATATATAAACTTACACCAGCAGCATTTAAGGAAGCACACATCGCCTCAGCTTCACCATGACCAGTTATATGTGGTATTCCCAACAGATCAAGTAATTCACAACACTGAAACAGATTACATATTTTATCGAACAGTTGGAATGAACCGTTTAATTAAATTTCTAACAATGAAAGGGATAAATTTTGCTTTTTTGATGAATTTCATGTATGCTACCAGCCAAAATCTACAGTTGAAATATCACAAGATGAGCGCATAAATTTGCATTCTAGACAACCATTTAATAGAATATATTATATAATGTCATAAAAAACTATTCAATTACACATTTTTTAATAATTACATGGCATAACATTGTTGATATTTTGTGCACAATGCCGATCTAAGCAGGCTGTGATAAGAAATAACAAAACTAATCACAACCACTTAGACGGAACAGTTACACAAATATTTTCACACCTTCGTAATTAGCAGCTTTCTGTTCTCAGTTGTACCTCTGTCATTGTTTCTTCTTTGTTGATTTTTTCCTATATTGGATAAGGGTGAAGCACAAAAAAATGACATTACAGATAACTTTTTATCAAACTCCATCCAACTAAATGAGACAACTAGCCTTCAACAAAGGCAAAATCATACAAGCCTAAAATTCAACATGTAGAAATAGCAGGGTACGTCAGAATCTATGCTGATCTAAGCAGGCTGTGATAAGACTATGATTTTAAACTTATCACAGCCACTTAGTCAGAAGGGTAGCTGACCTTCTACAAACAACTTTCCATCAAATTTCTCAACTCCACAATGACTGATCTCATCAAAATTCAGGTATGAACCATTTAAACAGCAATTCTCTTTTAGTTTAACAATCACTACCAAGCAAACCTAACATACACATTTTAGCAGCATAAGCAGAATCTCTAACTTTAATGATCATTTCAAATAAATCATTACTGCAATTTCGATACTCTTTCATCACAATGTTCTTTACCTGGTAATAATGATGACCAGTGAATCCTAGTTTGATGAACATATGCCACAATACGCTGATCCAAGCAGGCTGTGATAAGATATTAACTTTAACTGATCTCAGCCACTTGGTCAGAGCAGGGCAGCAAATTACTGTACTGTACTGTATTTCACTATTACAGATCTTTAAAATGATATGAAGTTAGCAAGGGTGTGATGGGTGATGATTATGAAGATTGTAGAAGGGAAGATGATAAAAGCAGTGGTCTATGCTGATCCAAGCAGGCTGTGATAGGAATAATCATAAACCCGTTCACAGCCACTTGGTCAGCACAGCTTCCTGAATCCAGGCATATGATTACAGATTAAGGCAGGTTCTTGTTATGCATTGACTGGATTAAGTAGAACGTAAGCTCAGGATAAAGCAGTGATGGTTAGCAGCAAAAAACATATTTAAACTTCAAATAAAACTTACACACCAAAAACTATCAGAATCAAATGTTTGCAGTTACCTCCCATTATTGTCAAAATTACATAGTCCAACAATTATGTCATTAAATCATGATTGAATTCAAAGAAGCACATGTGATTGAGGATTGAAAAATGCAAAAGAAGAAGGAGGCAAGACAATGAAGTGATAATGATAATGAAGTGAGGACATGGCTCATCAATACTGGCTGTGACAGAATATTATAGAACTATAACATCCAGATTTGACAATTCATGGCAACACAAAATATGAATCTTGAACAAAACACAATAATATTCTGATGCCTTTTCTGAGCCCAAAAAAAAAACCTTCACACATTACTACCGCAAAATATCAAATGCAATATCGAAACAGGACTCAGAAATATATTCTTGATAACCGCCACAGAATTCTTTCTAACCACAAATTGATGATATCCAAAAATCTATGCAAAAGACAGAGTAGTAAGATGGTATTATTGAATCATCTCACTACCCTTGTCTTTCACAAAGATTTCTGCTGCATGGTAGACTGGGGTCCTCTATCTGAATTTGTCCTGTGTGACCGAAATTTTCATATGAATGGAATCTTGTTCAAATTGGCTTCTCTGGGAAAATTTCCCAAAACAAATGAAGTTGTATACCCACCTCTTTTAAACAAGATGAGAATTGTGACCTTTTTCGTTTTACATGTCTGAAAGTTGTTCCAGGCTTGACAATTCCCCTGGCTTGTTGTCTTCGCCACATCTCCTCCCATTTTAGCTCTGGGGCCTCTCCCTCGATCACAAATACCAATTTAACACCAAGTTGAGTCAGATGAGACACGCGGAAAAACAAATTCCTGAGAAAATGATTGAGTTTTTTTTAGCATGACAATACATTTTGTGACAAAAATCTTTAAATAAAAAAAAATATTCTTTTTGATATAATGAGCAGCAGTTTGTAATACGACAAAATAAAAAAAAAACAAATTTTTTTTTTAACTTGCGTAAGATACCGCTACTAAACTATAATTTGAAATAAATCATAGATCAAATATCATAAAAAGTTTAAAAAGAAAAAAAAATAAAAACATGAAAGGTATCCAACTTACCTTAAATGTGGTTTTACAACAACTCCGTGCATCTGCTTTACAGACTGGTTTTCACACACCCAAATAGACAGATCAACAGCTAAAACTTGTCCTTTCAAATTTGTTAATGGCTTGTGCTTCTTAACAGGAGCCAAAATTGTCCATAAATTAGTAACACCCATTGTCTATGCCTCAAAATCTAGATCAATTAATCATTAAATATCTCACTTTTCTGAATCATTCTCCTGAAGAGAAAAACAGCATCACAACTTTAATTGTTTTTATACCAACATTGGCAAGAAAATTAGCCAATGGCAGGCAGAGAATTTGTAATCAAACCATTTTGAACTGAGAACATGTCTACTCCATTGACAAAAGAAAAAGGACAGTTTCCTAATGATGAAACCAAAAACCACGCAGATATTTCATGTTTTACATCATTTTTCATAGCCATGCCGTTTGACAATGTTTGCAATTACAATTATCAACAAATTGTGCATCAAATGTCGAAATTTTAAAAGAAAATCAGCGAATATTTAGTGAGTTTTCTTCGTTCATTGTTACAAAACACGGTTGTTTTCAAAAATCCCTCTCAATTTCTAGCCACCATTTTCAAAACAAAATGGCAACAACAACAAAATGATATCTGGGACAAAAACCTACGAAAAATCTTAGAAAAGTATTAAATCAATCAATGTCAGTGGTTGCAAAAATATTTACAAATCTAGATGCTAAAATATAAAGAAATGACGTTACCATAAACAACAGCGAACCCCATCTTCGAAAATTAAAAAAAAATCGATGAAGCCGTGGTGGAAGCTGCGTGACCTAGTCGTGAATGAGTGCGCGCCGCGCGCTAGCGTCAGTCAACCTCACTTTCAAATTTGGGGTTTCCTCCACAATTCGACCTTGAACCGTATATTTCCGCACGCATTTGCACGAAATTTTACCAACAAAAACAACAAATTTACGTACCATTTTGATCTTGGATATTAGTTTTAGGTGAATAATCATAACTTATCGTCATCAACCCAGATAAAATTGCTCTTTTGTCTTGAAAACACAAAGCACCAAGCACCTGCTGCATTATATTTCGCGCCATTTGCTTGACCCACTTTTATGTACAATTATAAAATAAATTATTTTTTTGAATTAAAACGATATAGAATTTCATTAATTTTTGTTTGAAGTAAAATGGCATCAATATCTGAAAAAGTAAAACTCCTTTAACAAAATCGAGGGAATCCCTTAAGTCACGTGACATTATTTTCTATTTTTTCTTCTCTTCTGATCAGGGATATTATTATGGAGGTTCGCGCCAGATTTTAAGGGCCGACTTGACAGTGTTGTTTTAATGGGATTAGATCGAGATGCCTCTCTTGGGAAAGAAAATTTATTCCCCGTCAAAGCCTCCGAAGGACATTTTACCGAATGAGAAAGTTTTCACCATTCCATTTACTGGAGAAAGGTTCCGAAGCAAGTCGTATCCTTTTTACGCATGCGAGTATCAATGAAATCCAAGATGGCCGCGCTCATGAAATTCATTGTCAAAGACATAAAATTGTTCATAACTTTAAAAACAATGGATCATTTTGTGTGAACTTTAGCCATTACTTGCACAGTTTGTTGGTTTTCCATAGAAACAAATGTCGAAAGATTTTTGTAATATTTCCACTCATGTTTTAAGTTACAGAAAATTCGCCGAAAAACTCACATGGCTGTTGTTTACATTGACAGTTTGTCATTTAATTTGATTTTTCATAAAATTGTAAGTGTTGCCTTTAATTTGATGCATTACATGAAAGATTTTGATATAAATGAGATAAGAAAAACCTAGGAAAGTAAGGACACTGTTTTGAGTCAGCCATGTTGTTTTTTTAAGTGATCTGGGGTTGATTGCATCGTCTGCTAGATTGTGGAAGATGCCGACAGAGTAAACCTTCAATGATGGCTTGACATCTTCAGGAAATGTCATATTTCAATTAATGTTCCCTATTTTGTAAATTAATATTCATACATACGAAAAATTGTGGTGTACATGGAATAGAAAATAACTAGTTTTTGATCAATGACAGATTTCCACAGTATGATTGACCTCTTTTAATCTTTAATTTTGAGTTTTAGATCAACATGACAAGCGACAATTTGATATTTTCATGAAGATTTCTTCCAGATGTGTTATCCAATACAAAATCTTTTCCGAAAATTCCTTAATTGTTGGTAGTGAATATGACAAAAGATGCTCTCTCTACAGGGAAAAAATATGGACTTGTCAATGCACCGGGCATGTCAATTTGTCTTATGAAGAAGCCCATAAATCTGAAAAAGCAGGACACAAAACAATCAAAGATCAGTTTGATGAATGTTTTGAGAGGCCTACATTAGAAGTAGTTCACCACGGTAAATATTTTCATTAAGCTTTAGGTTAGAGATGTGTTTAAATGTCTGAAAGCAGGGATATCTATGTTACTAAACATAGCCACCAGAGGGCACTAGTAGGTATTGAACAACTTACAATAGAAAATTAGTGAATTAAACTGGGGTGTCTATGATAGAACAGAAGTTGCAAACAATTAAATAACTATTTGAGTTAACTATCCTGATTTAACTTTGCAATGTATTATTATCTTCTTAAAAAAACAAATTGATTGAAATTGATCTTAGATAAAAAAAAAAAACATATGCATTTTGATTAAAACAAAAGTAGACATTTCTATCAGCTTTTTATTTGTTGTGATGTGCTGCCAGTGGAAAATAATATGCAATGTAAAATACATTGGCTGAAAGATACCCCCAGGGAATAATGAATTAATACAAAAATTACTTCAAAATGTTTTATGTTTGAATAATTTTTTTCCAGCCACTGTCAGTCTAGATAATTTGGTTGACCAGGCTTGGACAAAAATACAACAGGTTTTGTTAGTAGGTGAAAATGTTGCTCTCAAAGTCAAGGCTGCTGGCAGAACGTAAGAAATCTTCAAATTTTCTCAACCTGGTCATTTTAAATGCAACCTGCCCTAATCTGCAGCTGATGTTCCACAAGGGTAGGACAAAAAAGAGAAACTATTTGAATTCGTCATTTATTGGTAACTGCTCAATACTATTCAGAATTGCTCAATAAATGCATCCCAGCCAAACAGCATGTCATGTGCCAGAACAGGTCTTAGATAACTAATACAGCAACATTTTGTCATTATTACATCTATTATTTTATGTGTGTTAATATTTTTCAGTATTAAAGGAACTATTGTATCTGTTGATAATTGTGGAATGGATGTAAGTAGGATCTATCCATTAAATCAGATTTTTCACATCTAACTATTATATAATTTTAAAAATGAAGATCATCTGTATGCTTAAGAAAGCATCTAAAGACAGCTTGATGTTTCAAAGCATGAAATACGTATGCAAATAAAAATTCTTCCTATGCAAAAACATTTGTATGTATTTGCCTTGTCATGTGTTTATTAGGCTAAAAGGTTTGATGACTTTTTTCCTGCCGGGTATGGTCTTTCACTATACAATGTATATAATTAAACATGTCATTGGCAAAAAAAAAACAAGTCTTGATAGTAAACCTTGAAATGCATGTAAAAGATTCCTGACAAAAAAAAGAGCTGTTTGTACAGTGTATCTGAAAGTATTTTGTCCCTGCTCTGACCAAGTGGCTGAGATAAGTTTATTTGAATCTTATCACAGCCTGCTTGGATCAGTTCAGTGTCAAATATAAACAACAAAATAGGATAGTTTGTTGAATATATTGGAATATTTTTGATGTGTAATCTTATGTAAGCTGATATTTGGAAATTTACTTTGGATATCAAAGTTTTGTCTCGTTATATATAATTTACAGGTCAATCCTACCAGTAATTGCAGTTCACCATCAAGTGATAAAGAAAATAACAACAGTAAAGACCAGCCTAAAAAATGGCAAGCACCAAAGGTCAGGAACTGCAGTCTTTTCGATATTATGATTCCTGTGTTAAAATATTGAGTATTATTAACTCAACGAAGCGGATATTGTACCAGTCTTGCATTAACTGAGCAAAATGTTGGGAAGGATTGTTCTACTGATATAGTGGTACCGATAATTATAGAACCAGATTGTGTCGTATGTAAATTTAAGATTGAACTGTTTCATTAATGTTACAGCCTCAATTTATTGTACTTAATCTGTATTGGATTAAGACCCTCACTAAGTCATCATCAATTGTTATTTATGAATTTTATTGTAGTACATCTGCCTTGTGGTCAAAGGGAGATAATTGGAAATCTTGAACTGTTAAAGGGAGGTAAATTTCAAATTGTCATTTACATTGTATTGTAGTTATTACCATATAAATACAGTATGAGATTGGAAGGAGAAGAAAAAGTTATAAATGCTATTCCAGCTTCAGATTTAGCGTGAGTTTTAATTTCATTTCAATTTTAACTGCATGAATTTCTCAATCACTAAATACGTAACTATATTAGAAAATGAACTAAATTTTGTCAAAGGAGTAACTAAATGATAGTTAAACGTTACAATCTATCCAGTATGTCCAAGCAGTAATGTTTTTATTAAGGAATATTCTTTCAGTAAATCATAATGCAACTAGAAGAACTGGTCAAGGTCAATAAAAATGTGTATCTGTATCTTGAAAGTGTATTGTATATTTCAGTCGATGTGGACGTCCCCCATCTAAAGATTTGATAAGATTATTTATACGAGCTCACACAGTGCGTGCTGGTCAGTCAGCAACTAGTCCCTGGGTTGTAGATGATAAAATGGTGCACAAATATAAATTACCTAAAAAATTTACAGACTTTTTGCTTTCTCCTGCAAAGGTTAGTTTATGTCTGCCCTGTATTCATTGATAAGGGTATTGAAGAATATTATGTTATTTATGGCTGGCATAGAATGTTATTTTAGCAGCTCTGAACAGTTTTCAGAATAAGAATTTAACATCAAGTTTTTGAATTATTATTTTGACACAAATTGATATCTGTACTAGAGTATGGATAGCAATTGAACTATTGATAACCCAAGATATAATGGATATGGAAACACCACCTATAGTTCAAGACATTTGAAATGGTTAATAATTTCTCAACATTATTGGTTGCAGATGACAAGAATAACGCCGCAAATGGTAGAAGAAATCAGTAAAAAGCGTAAAATGGAAGTAGAAGTTGTAGAGAGCTCTTCAGACGAAGATGAAATTGTTTTATCAGAAGTTATTAGGAAATCAATCGGAAAATCTGATGCGTCTGCGAACAATGACTCAGATTCAGATGTACCATTAGTGAAACTCAAATCAAAAAATAATTCTAATGGCTCAGATTCAGAAGACGAACCATTGTCTAAATTAGGTTCTGGTAAAAAATCTCCTAAAAAGAAATCACCCACTAAGTCAAAAGACTCTAAAAAGAAAGATGTGAAAAAAAAGGTGAGAGTTAAAGCTGATTCATAAGTTTTGCTGCCTTTCTGAAAATGCCGAAAAACTCACATGGCTGTTGGCATGTCGGAAAAAAAAATTTTTGTAAAAATATTTTGAAATTGAATTGAATGCCACTACAATGAAATAAATCGTTTTCTTTTTCAGAAATTAAAACAAATGACGCTATTTGAAATAGCAAACAAGAAAGGAAGTAAATCTTCCAATAAAAACTCTCCACGTAAATTGTTTGCATCTACAGTTAATGTCACACCTCCTATTGTTAGACAGTAAGTTGAACACATTATTTCTTCATTCAGTTATACATATATCATAAAGATCTGCATGATTTTTGCTTATTTCATTGTGTGTTTGTTTTATTACAGAATGGTGAAAGCTCATAAAGCCAATAAAGAACATGCATTTCAAGAATTATTAAAGAAAGCTGTACAAATGTTAAACTCTACTCAAAGAAATAATCTTCCCAGCCAAATAAAGGAAGAATTTATGAAAAAATATGAAATATTTAGAGAGAAAAAGTTACTGTGAGTAAAGTTATTTTGTTTTTAAAAGTATTTTATTTTTATTTGATATTAATATTTATGCGCAAGAGCGTGAAGCACAGCCATCTACACTCTTGTGATTCTTTAAATGAGGCCCTTAAGTTTGAAAGTTGGAACTTCACTATCAACTTCTCTCCAAATAAGGAAAAAGATTTATGTTTAAGCAAGGCATATTCATTACTCAATTCATGATAAATTTTCACAAATTAATGTAAGTGCCTTGTCATTAAGTATATACAGGGAATATTTCAAATTAGCCTTGTGGGTAAAGCAATGGGTAGTTATTTTAGTATCTAGAATTTAAAAGCTTCATTGTTTTCTGATTAAGAATGAAGCCTGATATCAATTGATTATTTTTCAGAGCCAAAATGACACCAGAAGAAAAAGACAATTATTTTAAAAGAAAGAGAAAGTTACGAGAACAAGAATCTAAGAAGGTAAAACCACTATATAAAAAAAAGTTGTTTGGAACAGCAGAATTGTAGAAAGTAAAAGTAATAAATGTAAAATAATAGGATTATCGTTGGTCTTTTATTTCATCAGTTGACCAATTCAAAACCAAAATTGTTCCTTTGAATATCTCACTAAAAAAAATTTATTTGCTTTGAAAGCTTTCTTTATGTTTGATTATAGAAATTTGAGGACCAACAATTAAAACAAACACCATTACCTCAACCTAAACTGGTTTCCTGCCCTGAGAGTATACCCAATGAAGTGTTTGGAGATGTTGCTATGGTAACAGAATTTATTAGTTGTTTTAAAGGATTATTGATGCCAAATGATGAATATCCAATATATTCAGGTGAGACTCTCTTTCAAGTTTTAAAATCTCTAGATAGTCTTAATATACCAAGATTAGAGACTCTCAAAAGTCTTTTTATAAATTCCTAAGAATCCTCAGAAATAATAAATTTATTTTGTCTGATGCTTTTGATAAAGATTCACGGATGTAAGCATTGTTTTAATTATCAAATATAAACCCATAGTATTGAACAATCATCCATGTTTTATAAGCAGACAAGTCTGACTAAGATGATTAATCTTGTCATATTGTCATTGTTTTGTAGATGCGTTAATGAAAGCTCTATGTAATGGTGTAGTGGGATATAGTTATTTAAATAGAGTATTAGATATTTTATTACAAACCTTACTACAAGATAGAATAGCTGAGGTGAGTCTTTCTAATGTAAAAGGAACTTATAAAGCATGAGCGTTATTATTATTGGACAGAATTTGAAATGCCTGGATATACAAAAGAATATTCGACTTTTAAGAAAATTGATAATATTATTTTGGTTCTTCCAATATCTCGTTTGAATTATTACCAAAAAAATCATGATACATGAAAATTATAGTGTAATAAAATTATATCTGAAAACTGTTTTATGACAGCACTGAATGAATTCATATTATTTTCTTTATTCATACTGATATAGATTTTAAAACTGCTGTATTTTCTTTTCAAGAAAAGTGTTAAATTGCATCACTGCAGTACATACATATGTTATTTTAGGGCTATGAAGAATTAAAAACAAAATTAAACAATATAGCTATTAACAGTTATACAGCATCAGAATTAGTTAGATTGTGTTTACGAAGCAATGATAGTGGTCAAGAATTAGATGATGAAAATGATGATGAAGAAGAAGATTTTGTGGATGTGGTCTGTTGTATTATTTTGTATTATTATCCTTTGGCCTTAGCATAAAAAATGCCTAACTTGATTAAACAATTGTAAATAATGTTGAATATAAGCAGTAAAGCAAAGATATATATATGTGCATTGAGAATATTCTAAATATCAAGCAGTCCAGTATATTTTTGGTTAATGTAAGTACTGATGAACTATCTCAAAAATAAAGTGAACTACAGGTATTTGTGATTTAAATTGTCAATAAATGTGTACACAGGTTTATTAGTTGAGTTATTTTACCCTCATGTTTTTGTTCTCTATTTTCCAGCCTCAGAATATTATAGAAAAATTAGAAGATAAAGAGTTTTACCAACTAGAACCAACTGATAAATTAGCTATATTAAAAGGATTATGTCTACGTATAATGGGATCTTATTCAGTTCAGGAATATATGGAAGGCAAACAGACTCAGGCCAATAAACTGATGTAAGTTTGTATGTTCTGTGGTATTTTTTAGTGATGCTAAGTTAATAGCTACTATGTCATTTGTGGAAAACATTTTGGTTACTTTGCCTTACCAAGATATATGCTCCATATCCAAGCAATATAATTATTTTTTGACTGTTATATTTTTATGTACAGGAAACAGAAATGGGTAGGCCAGAAAGAATTAAATGAACAATTAAAGCAACAAGATGAGGAAGAAGATAAAGACAAACCTAAAGATGATGCAGGTAACTTGCTTGTGTGTGATATAAAAAATTGACTGAATCAGTTATGAGGTTTCGACAATAAATTGATTGTCAGTAGAAGAAAATAAAAATCATTATCTGGTAACATTAAGAGCCAAATATTATGCTGGCAAATGCAGTACCTGAAAAGTTAATATTAAAGATTTGTGTTGACAAAATGTAGACCAATTACATTTCAGATCGCCCCAAAAATGGGACTACAGACATACATAAGGATGTATTGTATGTACCACTTTGAAATTTATCCAAATTTCTCTTGATGTAAGAGCAGAACATAGTATAAATTTCGTTATGTCCATGTATTTTAAAAAACTAACATAATATAATTAGTTAACTTTTGCTTTACTGCTGTACTAACATTTGGTGCTGGACTGTTGTAATATTTCTGTAGGATTAATCACAGCATCTTTCTATGGTACTATAGATAAAGTCGACTCTGATGCTCCTGCTACGCCTGCTGAATCTATCAAAGCTGAGAATGAAGATGATATCATATCCTCTGTAAGAAATAGGCGAGTCAGTGCTGCCAAATCAGCAGCTGAAAAAGCCAAGAAAGAAAAGCAAAGACGCAAGGAGTGAGTATTTGAAACTTTTCATGTTCACAGAGTTAGGTCTTAATGGTATTAAGCAATTGTAAGTATGACATACAGATACAGCTTTATGGAACAACAATTACTGGTTAAAGTTTTTGTTCCATAAAGCTGTGGCTATATGTAGGTCCCAGAGTTGTCCAGTTGATAAAATCCATAATTAGTTACTTATAAACTAGTGTCCCAAAGAAACGATACCACCTGTTTGCAACGACATAAAAGAAAAACTAAACAATGCAGAAGTTTAGGATTGGTGTTATGCTTTTGAGAAATCCTTTCACAACATCTGTACAAAAATTTAATTTCAATAAAATCTGTACAACCAATATGACAAGCCTTTAAAGATGGGTGGGTCGAAAAAAGAACATTTGGTTAGAGCACTGATCACAGAAACAACGGGAAATGTCACACCACAGGTCACAAAGTCAAGTCAGTAGCGGGTATGTCCACCGTGAGCATCAATACATGCCAGAACACGCCTACGGACTGATGCCGTCAAACGTCTGATGACGTTGGCAGTTATGCGTTGCCATTCCTCGAGGAGACATCGTTCCAAGTCCTGGACGTTGACTAGAGGCACACGGTGACGTCGGATTTGCCGATCGAGGTGGTCCCATAAGTGCTCGATGGGATTCATGTCCGGTGAACATGCGGGCCATGGCAAAACCTGTACGTTGGCGTTGGCAAGGAAGTTCTGTGTCAATCTTGCTGTGTGTGGCCTTGCATTGTCATGTTGGAAAAGGAGTCCACGAGGCTGTTGCTGAATAAAGGGCACCACAACAGGCCGTAGGATGTCATCAATATAACGCTATTCATTCAGGTTTCCACGAATTACGACAAGCCTCATTTTGACGTCACCACATATGCCACCCCAAACCATTAACCCTCCACCTCCAAACGGCCGGACCTGTTGGATACAGTTAGACGCCAAACGTTCACCAAATCATCGGTATACAAGCTGCCGTACATCGTTTTTGAAGATGAGGAATCTGCTCTCATCAGAGAACATAACACGTGCCCAGTCCCGCCGTTGCCAACGTTGAACTCGCCTGGCCCAGATCAGTCTGTTGTTCCGGTGTCGAGGCGTCAGGAGCGGTCCGCGGTAGGGATGACGTGGCCAGGTACCATACTGCCGTAGTCTCCTGTAGACGGTCTGTGGACTGATCCTGTGTCCCAGTGCTGTAGCCGCCGTGAACGTCGCTGTTATAGTGCGGTTCCTCAGGTGTAATACCCGGATGTAACGATCTTCACGGGGCGTGGTTACTCGCGGTCTTCGTCTGACCTGTCTGACGTAACCACTGCATCAACCTGGTGATAGTGATGCGTGCGCAGCCCAACCTTCTGGCGACGTTGACGTGTGTCGCTCCTTGTTGGACCATTCCAACGGCTCCCTCTCTCTCTAGATGGCTGTCAAACGTGGCATATCTTGTGTTCTTTTTGTTGCTGTGATATCAACGTGTGTGATCAGCCGTTTTATACAGTTTTTATGCAAGTGCAGAACATGCTAGAGAGGGAAATGTCAGTTACACGAAATTTACGTTTTTTCCCAGAAGTGATCACGTGTTCCCGGTATTTTTATCGACTATGCTGTGTTTGGGATGTGCAATACAAATTGGCATGTTTTCATATTAGACAATTCACTTAGTAAAAAACAATTTTGAAAATAAGTTGGTATCGTTTCTTTTGGACACTAGTTTAGCATAAGGATTCAATAAGCTGGTAATACATGTAAATAAATGACTATTTCTCTTTCTCCTATAATTTATAGATTTGAAAAGAGTATGATAGAGCAGAAGAAACAGAGACAATTAAAGACCATGCAGGTATGCAAAAACTTTTATTTCAAGTGGTATTCATCGATGTTTTGGCAAAAATCCTTCATTTGTTCTGCATAACATTGCTACTAAGCAGACAGGGGGAAAGTAAAACTTCATTCAAAAGACAATATACTTGATTATCATTAATGCACTTTGGTGTGATTTATTAGATTTTAAAAACATTAACAGAGTTAAAGAAATTTGAATATTTTGTAGGAGGCAATAGAGGCAGCAAGACAAGTTTTACGATTTGTACCGATTGGTTTTGATAGACATCACAATCGGTACTGGATGTTCAGTAAAACAACACCAGGGTTATATATAGAGAAGGGCTGGTTTACTCAAGACTACAATCATTGTGTTAAGCTAGAAGGAGATAACACTGATGAGGATGATAAGCCCATTGCTAAATTATGTACACCCACTAAACAAAATGGCACTGCAAGTCCAAAGAAATCACCTAGAAAATCTCCCAAGAAAGCTTGTAATAATGATCCAAGGTAGGAAATCAACACATAAAGTTAAAAAAAAAAACTCTTTACAATCCCTTCAATCCTGGATCCTGCACAATGTGTTTATTCCTTAGACATGTCTTATTTACTGAAAGAAGACATTGTTGTTATTGTTAAGTATTCTATAGAAATGTCAAGATCTTTTAATAAGCAACATGTATCATTCAATCACAATCATTAGTAGAAATATAGTTCTTGAAAATTGACTATGGGAAGAAGAGTATGCATCAATTTTTGAAAACAAAAAAGTTGCCTGATTTTTAAATGGAGTGGATAGCCTATTCATATCTATGGTCTTTGTTTCAGTATACCTCACTATTCTCAGAATCTATGGTATGAGTATGATACTAGTAAAGATTTAGATGAGTTAATAAGTTCTCTACATCGTCAAGGTATACGAGAGAGTGAACTGAAGAAAGAAATTAAGAAGAGATATGATGATATATCAAAAGCTATTTATAGATCTAGAAGGTAATAACTAATGGCAGACGAACTTCTTTAAAACATATCAAGCATGTTTTTTGCGATCTTTAAATCAAAATGTTGATTCTGTTGAATGCATTCAATTTGGCCATATGTTTTTTTGTTTAATTTTATCATAAACCAATTTTGTGTAATTGAAGATATCTTGTTTTTATTATAGATACATGATTCTTTACCATTGCTTTTATTTTTTGCAGAAATGAAGATTTGGTATATGAAGTAGATCTTGCTCTCTTTATACACATAAATGTACACTTTAAAACTTAATTTTAATCATTTTAGATCAAATTTAGAGTTACGAGAATCTAATGGTGATAGTGAAACATTACAAGGTATAAGAAAAGAATTATTAGATCTAGAAGTTCGATTACGCAGTGGTGGGCTAGGTGGTGTTCCCGATTTTAAAACTTTTGAAAAAAAAGTAGAAACCTCAAGTGAATTAAAAGATTTTGTAAGTATACTTAGATCAGGGGTTTTCAACCCGGGGATAATTTTGATATTTTATGGGGATAAGGAGGCACTTTGTTGTCTAGCATAGAATAAGGTTGACAACCCAGGGCTTACATGAATGAAAACATTGTCTATATTGTAGCTTAAATTGCTTGACATTGCCTGGTTCAGACATCAATTGATTCTTTGTACCATTGGATATTTATGTTGCTTTTATAAATCTTGTTAAGCGTAGATTCTATATGAATTACAATATGTGAAATCCTCTTTTCAATCATCTTAAAAATAAACTGTTATTATCTTATTATCAGGGTGCATTACTATTAGAAGTGGAGGGTCATGTTTTGGAGAAATTTATTAAATATTTCATGAAAAATAAACAGCAGTTAGGCCCTACGCCCAGTGCAAATACTGTCAAACAAGACAATTCAGATGATGGTAAGGATATTTTGTTTTATTCAAATCTGTTTCTGATCCAAAAATACTTTTTTCATTAGTCTTACATCCACCACTATAACTCAATATTTTTGACTGACTAGAGATTGATTTTAGTTTGGAGCAATATGAACCCTCAATAGGATTTCTTCACCTTACAATAAAGCACAGTTTTTATGGTAAACTTAATGCCTTGTCCACCTAATGGTTGATTGAAATACTGTAACATTTTGTCAAACTGGATTCAAAGACTGAGACTCAGTATGGGTTGAAGTTGGGGGTCAATCGAAATAAACTCTCTGGATGGCCTTTTCCACTGAGAAATCACAGAATCATACTTTTTATTATTTTACAGATTATGATGATGATGAAGTTGTGATAATTGAAACTGATGGAACGAAAAGACCCATAACCCATAAACATCGGCAGAGATGGCGGGATGCTGTAGAGAACTGTGCTACCTTCTCAAGATTCCATGTTTTAATGGGAATGTTGGAATATTGTGTAAATTGGGATAAGTCAGTAGAAGCTGCAGTAAGTTTGATAATAAATTATTGTGTTGGATTATGGGCATGCTCTCAGACCTCATGATGCTTCCCGGAGTTGACAATTGATCGCTATTTAGAAAGTCCATATTGCTGTTATTGTCATTTAATATACTTAATTGTTCCTAATAACACATTGATTAATTAAGCCAGTGATATTTATTAATATATTAATTACTGTTAATTGTCAATATTAAAGAAATGTATACAAAATATTATCTGTGTATATTATAGAAATGTAAGATCTGTAGGAAGAAAGGTAATGATGATAGACTATTATTATGTGATGACTGTAATCTAGCTTTCCACATGTATTGTTTACGTCCAGCACTTACTGATGTACCTGAAGGGGAATGGTTTTGTGCTGCTTGTGTGGTAAGACATCCTACTTATTCTTTTGATACAGAATCAGTTAGAGCTGGGCAATATTGGTTGATATCATATCAAATATTAAATGGGTATATATCGCAATATCTATTAAGTAGGGTTTTTACTGCGTTGTTTTTTTTTTATTTATTTAACAATAAATATCTCTAAAACAAAAACTCAGTCTTTAATATCATGAAAAATATATGCTTCAAATATTAAGTATTCTTATCAATGTTTTATGTTTTTCTAGCACAAGAGGAAGCCTATCCAGTTTTATCCTGCACGTGGAAAGAGTGAAGTAAGTCAAGTTTAGAATTGTGATATATCTACCTTTATGTCGCCTCTGTACTGCTACATATTTTGATGGAGTATAAACATTTGGAATGAAAAAATATAATTGAGTAACTAATTTAGTAACTTCCCTTGAATTAGCCAAACAAGAGTCAATTTCAACTTTTGAACAGCAAGAAGCAAATAATCTTTCCATGAATATTTTGTTTTTGCCTTTATCTTAATCTGGTTATCACTATAGATGCTTTCAATACATAAATGTACACAACGCCAGACTTATATCACCATGTTTTCTATTGTTTCAGTTTGAAGTAATAGAAGAAGAGAAACCTATAATAATTCATGAATTAACTTGTACTATATGTGGTGGAGATGAAGATCTTATAAATTGTTCAGAATGTCCCATGTCATATCATACATTCTGTCATGAACCACAGTTTCGATATCCACCAAGGTACAATTTTTATTGTTTAAGGAACACTAGGATACTCTCATAATGAACATAAAAATAATATCATCAAACTTTACTAATAAGATTATAATATATTCATCAGTTTGACTTACCTGATGTCATAACTAGCAACAGAACAGTAGTTTGAGGATTTGAATCTTATGTTCATTCTTAGATGTATTATTCCTTTGAATATCCCTAATGGCCTTTAATTGTCTTAGAATATTCTCTTTCTTCTGATTCTCAGACACTATTTATTCGCTTCTTATGCTTTCTAAACTAGAAAGTTGCCCTCTCTCAACACTGTCAGTGGTCGAGAAAAGTAGAACGTAATACTCATTTCATTTCCTGTGGTCTAAGCAGAAGACAAAATAAATGCATACCTAAAACATTATTTGAAATGCTTGACAATTTGGTGTTTAATGTCAGACGATTTGACTTCTTTGTCAGTTAATGGAATATAAAGTCAAAATGAAATAGATTTAACTATGACTTGTTTTTTTCTGTAGAGGAAACTGGCAGTGTATGAAATGTAAAGGTAGTAAGAAAAGACGAAGAGGTGAGATAATTAATTTTCAAAATTAATTTTATGATTATTACTAAAGTGAGGTCTGGTTTGTTAGTTTTAATGTAACAGTTATTCATTATCAATACCATATAAGAATGATATATTCTTCGCTAGCTATCTAGTCTCAGAATGTTGTTTTCCGGATACCTTTGCAACTGTGGTGCCATATATATATAGGAGAGACATCCAAACCTCTCTCCACCAGAATGTAAAACAGCATTGCACACTGAAAAGGAAGATGGAAAATTATGTGAAAAACATTTAATGAATATTTTATTTTTGATAGGACCAGTCTACTATAGTGATGATGATGAAGATTATGTTCATTATCCTAAACCCAAGCGTAAACGAGGACCATATAAAAAGAAAGTTGTTATTGAAGCTGATGATTCACCACCAAGAACATCAAGAAGAGCTCCTTCAGAATTATCGGTAAGGTTGTTAGCAGAGAAAATCAGTAATGAATTCAAACATATACACAATAAGTTAGTCATAGTCCAATTTAAATGGATATATTTTGAAAGTTAAGTTGGACACTGAATATCTATTTGTTTATTCATTGTTTTTTAAGAATTTAAATGGCGTGAGAATACAGGGTTTTCTCCCAGTACAAAAAACATGAAGAAAACTTTTCAACTACCCTTTAGATTCACAAGTCTTATGAAAATGAAGTATTTTATTTTTTTGGTTGTTTATTGTAGATATGTGAGGATATATTAAATGAATTAGTTAAAAATAAAGACAGTTGGCCATTTGCTGAAGCTGTGAACAAAAGAGCTGTAAGTTGAGTTAATTTATTACCAGACCATCTTATGTATCATTTTTGTTTGCCAAATATTATTGCATGAATACTTTATAATATTTCTAAAACACTAAATTGGTCGATATTCTACAATGGAGACATCAAAATTCAAGGAATCCTATCTATCAGCTGATGAAATGGTAATTTTTCCTCTGAGAATTTACATAAATTTCAAGTCAAGATATTAACATTCATTTTAGCAACCAAATGTTTTGATGAGGGGTTTTATAGCAGTCTTTACAATAAGATTAATTAATAATAATATTTATTTCAGGTACCTGATTATCATACTATAATAAAACATCCTATGGATTTTAGAACTATGAAAAATAAATTCCTATTGTATTCCTCAGCACAAGAATTTGTAGATGATTTGGCCTTAGTCTTTAGAAACTCTGCACTATATAATAAGGTAGGAGTCATATATTGAAAACAATTCCCCCCTCCCTTGAAAGAAAGCGAAAAATCTAAATTGGTATTAAAATAACTTAGTCCTTACTTAAAGGGATTGTAAAGAGGATTTCTAAATTTTGTATGCTTTTCGGGAACACTGATAGCATTGATTTGCACTATTTCCAATTTTCAATCAGATGTCTGTGGTTCCTCCAATTCCACTAAAAATAAGTGTTTGCTTGTATCACATAAGACCTTAGCAAAATTATGTTATTATTGTCCCCGATACACATACAAAAAGTAAGAAAACCTCTTTACAATCCCTTTAAGTAAGGTGTAGAAAAGTCGATGGTCTAGTCATTTATTTTGTTTACTTTATTGCAGGAGGATTCCGATATTTACCAGTGTATGTTAAATATGGAGAAACACGCCAGAAAACTAGTATCATCACGGTTACCAAACCATATATACAGTCGTGATGTGGTTGCTAATGGTTACAATGATCATGGTAATAGCAGTAAACGAAGTCGACGTAGATGAGATATTACTGCTCCTAAATAGTCTTTTAAACAGTTGATCCAATTAAAAAATTATGCTGTATATCTGGCAGTTCCTACAAAATTACACTATATTTTGGCATGTTTAGCTGTGATATGCAACTTCAGCTTTAGATATTTGACATGATATGGAATATATCAAATAAATGTAGGCTTCTGTACTGTAGTATATGCTAAATTTTACAGTGGCTGCAATTTACAGAGCTAGATTGTTGGTGTATTGTAAATTTAAGACAATTGTATAAATTTTAGATGTAAATATCCAGGACAACTCTGATTGGTTTCCATTGGGAATAAAATATCCTGGACCAATTAGAATTGTTGAAAATAGTTCTGATCTTTCTCACTGAGAAGACTGTAGCCAGTTAGTACTCTTTGATAGTGCTTTGTACATATTTCTCAATCAAAATATTGCCAGAAGCTTTGAAAAGGGAAGCATAAACTAATACACTTGCTGGATTCAAAATATAGACATTAAATAGCCAAGTGAAAGATTTGCTTGTTTGATTCATTGTATTTTGGGGTTAGAAATAGAACTTATACAGTAGTCCTTGCTAGCCTTGTTAAATCTACTGATATAAATTATATCTGAAGGCATACAAATAGAAAAATCTTATCGATTTAAGTTCAAGGAATCTCATTTGTCAATTTGTACAAATACACTTGGCAAGAAGCATGTTTTCCACTGTAGGCTTCGTCCAAATTGAAAATGAATTTTGTGGTGTCCAATTTTTTTGTGTAAAAATATTTGAATTTAATACTGTATATATATATATATATATATACATATATTTTAAAATAACTGTTGTAATAGGTTTTATTTTCACCATACAGGTCTAATTTTAGTTGTAAATATTCAATAATGGGCCATGTATCACCACCTTACGTCACAGTTATGAAAGGAAGTCATAAATGCAGCTTAAAAGCTGATTTAATGATCTAAAATATAAATACATGTAATGCCTAGTCCAATTCATAAGATGTACCCATGTTTCTAAAACTTAATGCATTTTGTTTCATTCTAAAAAATGAAAAAACTTTACCTGTGGTGTGCAAACAGAATTAGACTTTGCAATGTACATTTACTGCAATATTCTAAATATTTCAAAATCACTTATATAATTATGTAATCTATTGAATGGGAAATCTTTTGCTATTAGATCAGAGGCTGTCATGATAAACTGTCAACAAATATATCATGGACTAATTCCTTCAGTAGTAAGTAATTACGTATTGCGCAGGCGCTGTTCAATATTTATTATAAAACCTAATTTAACCTGGAAACATTCATTGACTGATTTTCCCAGTATGTTACCCAAAAACTATCAGATTTCTTCAAATCCAATATAAACTGTGCCTTTTGGTTACAAAACTTGTAATTCTTGTTTAACTAATTTCTTGTGTAAATTGGCTTCTGAAAAATGAAATAATAAGTACTTACCTTATTTGTGATGTTAATCTATTACTTCAGCTGTCAGTGACTGGTGGACAGAGCCCCAATTTTCTCACTTGGTTTCCCTGTTTGAGGTAAATTTTGACTGCAGTTCTATCTGAATAACTTTCAAGATTTCAAATTGGCGAATAAACTTGTTTGGTTATAACCATAAGTTATCCAGATAGAAATATCTACCTTTGCACTGCGAAACCAAACAAGAAGCTATCCAGATAAGAATATAACATTGGCTGTCACGTAAATAAACACTCAAAATGGCATCTCTTGTTGGTGGGAACATTAGGATGGAAATAATTGAAAATCACAAGTAAGGGATTAATAAAGTACACGAATACGCAGTGCGGCTTTATTAATAGGATTGCAGGGCCGAACCAAATACACTTCAGGGTTAATAAGAGTAAAGCAGTAGCTCAAATTCCACAGGAACTGGTTGAACCAAGTTTACAGAGCTCCAACCCGAGAAAAATTGATATATAAATGAGTGAAACCGCATGATCTGCAGACAAAATGTTAAAATATTTTATTTAGGCCATACATGGATTCAATTGACTTATTGCAAGAGAGCATAATATATAACCGAAATAATCCTCAGGCAGTGGCGGGGCCAAAGAGGGGACAGCCTCCCCCTCGCAGCCCAAGGCAATCTCAGATATTTTGCCCCTCGGACGTAAACCTGGCTCCGCCACTGTTCTTATCTTTTCAAATGTACCACTCGTTGTATGATGCCTTTAATGGGCGTATTTGATACAACGAACTTATCTTATCTAGGGGAGGGGCCCGACTAATCCAGTTTGATCTACTGATGTAAAGGTAACATAAAAATAATAATTGTAAGGACTTACAACTTGTGTGTATTAACACACTCTATGAATTCAAAAAAGAGTATTAATACATAAAAAATATCAAAGTTTATTTTGATATGGAAGGGGATATATGTCACAAACCTGGAGTCACAATTTTAACATGAATCCTTCCTTTAATACCTACTGCTAGCCTACAACTGCATTTCTAAGTACGTGTTTACTGTCCACATAATAAGCATTCCCACATAAGATAATATACGACAATTTTGTGCAACAGAAAATTTAATAGTCTTCGTCAAAATCGTCAACTTTTCCTCTCGTAAGCATTAGCCATTTTCGCCTTTTTTCATAATAAGGTAAACTCCTTTCTCTTTCTTCTTTACGTTTCTTCATATCATCCAGCTTACAATAAAACTCATCAATCCTCGAATGGAGAGGCTTTGGCTTTACTTTCATTTTGAGATTCAGAAATTCCCGCATCATGTCTTCTGGTGGATCGTCCTCTTCGTCTTCATCGTCTGCTTCTTCAATTTCATTTCCCTGCCATGCAACACTAGGACGACATTCAGTTACACGCGGGAACTTCACATTCACTTCCGATTTCGATGTCGGTTCCTCGTCTATACTCAGATTCTCAAACGTGGAATCGAGTCTTTTGATTATGCTACCATGTCTTTTAATGGTTCCGCGATCTGTCGATTTTCTCGATCGTGAGGTACGATCGTCTGAAGAGTAAGGACGAGTCGAAGGTTTTCTGAAACTAGGTAATCGAGTGATGCTACTTTTAGCGTTTCTTAGTAAAGGGTTATAATCATCTTCGTCATCGCTGGAATTTCTCAGTTCTTCAAAATATCTTTCTTTTTCTCGAAGTTTTTCCAGAAATTTTTCTCCTCTTTGAAAGCTTGTCTCCCTCTTTTTGAGACCTTCTTGGTACCATTCATCGCGCACAGCACTTAAAGTTTGTAATTTCTCTTTTAGTTTGGGTGTTATATACGTTCCCATTAACATTGGCGAAGACGGGGTTCCTCTCTTTACTGGACTTTTTGACTTTTTGGAATGTCCCGAGGGTGGTTTCTGTGCACATGCATCCGAATCTACCTCATCCTGTTTCTTTACTTTGGTTCTACCCAACAATCTACAAGAACAAATGTTTAAAGTGTATATTATGGCGATATAACGTATATCTATAAAATATTTGGAATGCAGAGTTAAAACTAAACCTTGAACTTAAACATGTATTTAATATATTGAAGAAGGTTTACTTCCATATAAAACCCACCATGCTTTATATATAAAAAAAAACCCAAATAATTTAACACTGCAAAACGAGAACGACAGGTCTGGAACATGCTCCCTTCGAAATCTGATGATTCTAACATTTCTGCCTATCTGGATATTCCACATAAAACATATATATCTCAGTTATTATAATGTGAGGATGTTTATATTAATATGGCGGGGGATATGGATCACAAAGCTAGTGTCACAATAACGAAATGAACAAAAAAGAAATATTACTTACTCTAATGAACCGGTTGTTAAGAAGTTATCACATTGTTTAATCTGTGTTAAAAAGTGGTTTGTACTAACTTTACTTCTTTCAATATGATATATAGAATATTTCTGTTCTCGATCAAACTGGGCCAACCTCTGTTTTAAAAATACACTGGCTAAGTTATTTTTATTGTTTAAATTACTGTTTGAACACTTGGCTTTACTCATCTTGATTTATTTGAAGACGTATGGTCAAACTCACTAAACGAACTGTGCGTTAAGATCTGTGCTATAAAAGACAGACTTGGTAAATGTGTTTTCTGATAAGTGTCCTTTTTGAAGAAAAAATAAAACGGTACTGATTACATTTCCATCGGCGCCTTGACAATTTGACTTTGCTATTCCTTGATGAAACACTTTTAATGTTGCGACAAAAAATCATTTGTGGCTCCAAACAGCTACAGTTTACCCCATTTCTGAAATTGTCCTTATTCACTTTGCAAACAATATAATGTGCACACTTTAATGTTGTTCACATTACATTTTGGTCCAAACTATCAAACTGCATGTAGTTAAACACGCTAGCGGTCCTTAAAACTGAAAACAAAAACACTTCAGTCCTTCTTTGTTTTCCAAATGTTTCTCTACACTCTAGGCCAACTCTTCAAAGAATTATCAAACCATAACTTAAGCTAATTTACGCCAATGGAATTATTTTGGCCATCTCTTAGTATACAATCTCAACACAGTGTCTTTCTCTAGCAAACATACAATGTCTCGGATGTTAGTTAACGCCATTAATATTATTTTTCTACGGAAAAAAATCCATTACCCTGGTTGCAAGCAACCAAAGGGAAATTTTGCGCTTCAGGTACAAATGCAACTTTGAAAATGCATTTATTGGAGGCCCAGTCGTCAATTCTTGTAGAAAATGGCGTTGTTTGTCACCGAGATTCTAAACAGCTATACCGGATTGTTGAGATAATCTCACTATGAGCAATGGTTTATTCAGTGGTGTGGGATTAATATGTAATTAATCCAATAAGCCTATATAATGTATAGATAACAGGATTATTTCTAGCACTGTCGAGATGACCAGCAGGATTATAGGTCTCGGCCTGGTGTTTTTATTTACTTATATCGGACTCCATACCTTTTAGTAGACTATTATTTAATATTTTAAATTCAAGAGAGTGAAGAATGGCTGAATGTTTTTGGACCATAACCAAATTTAAGATAGTTAATCACTTTGTTTCCGGAAATAACACCAATTCGAAATCCGATGTTATCCGTGACGCTTTGATGATCAATAATGCTATAGCATTTCGAATTTTGCACAAAAATAAAAACACTTACCACCCATAAACCCAGCGACACCAATTAAGACACAAAACTGTCACCTACTTGAATTTAGGTATATTATACACGTCATCGTTGTCCAGAAAGAGAGAAAATTGATTATGTTCAGCTCACTTCTCTCAAACAAGACAACCTTTATTATTCTCAAACAAGACAGTGCTCATTACACTCAGATAAGAAAGACTTTATCATTCTCAGACATGATAGAGTTCATTAATCTCAGACAAGGTATTGTTTATTACTCTCAGACAAGATAGTGTTTATTTCTCTCAGACAAGATAGAGTTCATTTATCTCAGACATGATAGAGTTTATTACTCTCAAATAAGAGAGAGTCTATTACTCTCAGATAAGAGAGAGTTTATTACTCTCTGATAGTGTTTTTTTACTCTCAGACAACATAGAGTTTATTACTCTCAGACATGATAGTGTTTATTACTCTCAGACATGATAGTATTTATAACTTTCAGATAAGAAAAGAGTTTTTTACTCTCAGGCATGAGAGAGTTTATTACTCTGACAAGATAGTGTTTTTTTCTCTCAGACAAGATAGAGTTTATTACTCTCAGACATGATAGAGTTTATTACTCTCTGACAAGATATATTTATTGATCTCAGACAAGATAGAGTTTATTACTCTCAGACATGGTAGTGTTTATTACTCTCTGACAAGACATATTTATTGATCTCAGACAAGATAGAGTTTATTACTCTCAGACATGGTAGTGTTTATTACTCTCTGACAAGACATATTTATTGATCTCAGACAAGATAGAGTTTATTATTCTCAGATAAGAGTTTATTTCTCTCAGACAAGATAATGTTTATTTCTCTCAGACATGATAGAGTTTATTAATCTCAGACATGATAGAGTTCATTAATCTCAGACAGGATAGTGTTTATTACTCTCAGACAAGATAATGTTTCTTATTCTCAGATAACAAAGAGTTTAACAAGTGTTTATAACTCCCAGATAAGAAAGAGTTTATTACTCTCAGACATGATAGTGTTTATTACTTTCAGACAAGAAAGACTTTTTTACTCTCAGACAAGATAGAGTTTATTACTCTCAGACAAGATAGAGTTTATTACTCTCAGACTTGATAGTGTTTATTACTTTCAGACAAGAAAGACTTTTTTACTCTCAGACAAGATAGAGTTTATAACTCCCAGATAAGAAAGAGTTTATTACTCTCAGACATGATAGTGTTTATTACTTTCAGACAAGAAAGACTTTTTTACTCTCAGACAAGATAGAGTTTATTACTCTCAGACTTGATAGTGTTTATTACTCTCAGACAAGATAGTGAGTGTTTTTTACTCTCAGAAAAGAAAGAGTTTATTACTCTCAGAGATTTTTTAATAGTGAACAGTTTTTCGAATTTGTACCTATTGAGGGTCCATAGAGCTACTTCAATTTATCATATCTAGTTATGCCTTTTTTGGAGAAAATCTGTTCCACAAAGGATTGACCTTATCTAAACTCAGATAACTACAAGCACTTGATAATTGGATATAAACACAACAAAGGGATTAACAATGGATTAACAGGATTAATATGATTAATGATAATCATCATTATAACTTGGGTGTTAAAAAGTCGAACTGTGGTGACTCTATGTCTATCATTTATATAAAATAAACACGACATTGTGATAATAACTGTTGGTAAAGTAAATCTCATATTGAGACTTCTATATTTCTTTCATAATAATATAAATCTTACATTACAAATTAAACTGTTTTTTGTGAAAATTTGTAACTAATACAGCACACCACATTACTGATTATACCAAGTTTATTACCTTATATACTATGTGCTGACTATCAAAGGGGTGGCAGGATAACAAATTAAGTTGCAAGTGGCTTCAGGTATTCTAGTGGGAAAGATTTCACTTTACATTTTAGATTCAGAGAAACACCAAATGTTTTTACATGATATTTATTTAACCTGCTAAGAGATGAGGTTTCCATTTTTAAATATACAACTGGCAATTAGCTTAATATTATTATATTTAATCTATATACAGTTTTATATATAATACAATAGTTTCCTGAGAAAAATCTTTTTTCTAACATACACTGCCAAATACTTATATTTCTTTCAATAAACCAGTTACACATACTGGCATATATTTTTAGAGAAAACCGTAGTTTTTCACGCAACAATAGGCATATAAATACATTTCAAAGCAAAATAATGATTTGATCTAAAATTTGTGGGAAAAAAACACTATATAGTAAATTTTGAATGAAGAGGAATATCTGAATATAAATATAACAATTAAATTTCACATTTATTCAGTTTGTCAAGTGATCAATTTCTTTACACACTAATAATGCTATTGACACCAATGTTTAATTCTTAATAAAGGACCAAACATATTTATGAGCATTTCCAATAAACAGAGTTTTTGAACACAATCTTGTGTTGACATATCAACTAAAGGAGTGGGCACACGGGCGGTCTTTGTCTGAGATTTTTGACGCCGATTAGAGTCTTGGGAGAAAACTCACATGCGCCCGTGCTTCCACGACAAGATTATCGCATCCCCATTAGGATTTGTAATATCAAACAAGTTTGATAATTGTCTCAGATGGTTTTATCGTCTATCATCCATTCAGATTCATTTTCCTTGTATGCCTGTGCCAGTGGTTGAAACTCAAGACAAGACTCAAATAGGCAACAAAAGTCTCTGACCAAGACCTCTTGTGTGCCTGCACCTTAACAAAACTTATTTAACAATGGTTTTATAAAAGTATCTTGTAAATAGAGACATTCCTGAAGGCTTGGAAGATCTGATCCATTGAGAACACAACTTGAAGAACCAGCTTCCAATTTCAGACTCATCTAAACACATGAACACGTCCACTAGAGTTAGCACCAGCTAGTATATTCAAGGAGGGATGAAAAGCATTGATTGAACACACAGAACCTAAATAATCTTCATTAGAAAACGTCTTGACCAGTGTTCCTTCATCAGAAAACATCTCAATCTGTAGAAAAAATAGAAAACTTTGACTTGTCAAATGGACAATTTGGTAAATTTATAAGTAGTAACAGTTCACCCTTTCAACACAAGAGACATCTCTTTGGGGCACAAAATTACATGATATGTACCCCAGTCACCTCTGAAGCACTCTTTGTAATGAATTAAATTCATACGATTCAATATCATGGGATATATTTCTGACATTTAGGTTTGAAAGGGTTAAGAGACACCTGATGCTAAATAATGTGGTATTTTTCAGAATTTCAAATCATTTGACAATAGGAGAGATCAGCAATGAAGTCATCAATATTGGAACCTGATGCACAAACCCTTACTGTTGTAAAAGTAGTTTTTCTTACTCAAGACATACATGTGTTCTCTTATTATCATATTAAGGCTATTCATATTGCCCTCCAATATGCAATACACAGTAATAATAAGGGCCTTCTAATGTTGTTACAAATTAAACCCAAGAATGTTCTTTTGAAATTTGAGGCAATTGCAGCCATCTCATTTACATTTTCCATACATTAAACTCAGACTTACCCGTCTAGGTCGTTCCATACTACCAGATATAAATAAATCTTCTCTCCTAGGATGCCAAATACAACGTAACTTAGTTAACCATCTTCCTGTATGATTGTTATGTCTAATGGATTTCTTTAGTTTTAATTGTTTATTAGCATCTACATCATAAATACTGAAATATAATGAATATTAAAACATTTTAAGTATATCGCCTTCAAGTTTCATCAACAGACACTTTGAAAATGAAATCCATGATAAGGACAGCTCAATCAAATTCGGGGATAATTTCTATTGAACACGACCTTGTTTGTACTGAAAAAGGCTGTGGTTTTTTTTATAGAATGCTAAATATAATATACCCGAAATGGATTAACTTTTGCAATCCCTGTTTAGATCAAAGCTTACACAGTGAGGAACAAGTAATTCATCAACCAAAAACGTCTTGCTTTTAACCTATTGAAAAAATCACTAACAAAGGGAGATCAGGCTAAAACTACTCAATATAACAACATTTTGGCCAACATTTGCAAAGATAGACAACATAGTTTCATTGAAGAAAGATACTATAAAACTTGACATACTGAATAGTATTATCATCTGATAATGATACACAATGTTTGCCAGTAATAGGTGAGAAGTTAGCACTGTTTACTACACGACTGTGTTTCCCTTCACTTATACAGGTATTCTTCTTTACTTTCATTTGACGTATATCCCAAACTTTTACAGTTCTATTAAAGATAGACCAGAATTATGAAACTATTAAGAAAATACATAATAATAATGATTATCAGATTATGGTAAAAAAATTCTTGATCCCTTTGTAGAAATTAATGCACTGTACAATGTATGAGAGAATTTTGTCAAAACAGCCACATTAGCTTAGACTACCCTTTACAGATTTTCAACTTTTGCTAGATCCTTATAACCAAAGCCTGTAGCACACGGGATCTTTTTTATTGACCTCTGCCAAGGACAACAGATATTGAATGCCAACCCCTCTGTTCTTTGTTACTGATGTAGTCAAAACTCATCGTAAAAGCTAACTGTTGAATCAGTCTTACGGTAAAAAGTAATAACTTACGCGTCTAGACTAGCTGTACAGAAATACTGTTTATCTGGATGTATATTGAGGGTACGTAAAGGTCTTTCATGAACTTCATATATATTCTCTGCTGTAGTGCTAAAATATAACATTGTCAATTGTGGCGACATTAGGTCTCAGAATTTTTGTCAATAATTGTGTAACAAAGGATAAATTAACTTTTTGAAAAGTGATTACCAATAGTATCAGCCAATCAATTTTCCTAGTATTGTACACTTACTACCTAAAAGTTACAAGTTTTCAGACCAAAACTTACTTACCTTGGTGTTCGTCTATCTACTAATGCTACACAACCATCACTCTGTGATATCAGTAATGTCTCTGATGTTAGAAAATCAGCATTGCGTAATAATATATTCTCATCACTAGGTACAGCATATATCTGGAACATTCATATATGTCAAGGCATAACAATTTAGTCTGTTTCTTAAAAATTCACATTAGCTTTAACTTTAAATTTGTTTCCTGACAGTAAAGAATTTATGAATTTATTGGATTATCGTTTAAACACCAGGTAAGTCCGCTAATGAATCTCTCCACGGCTCTTTTTGTCCAAGTTTGATAATTCAAATTTAAGAGTTAAACAGCCTTTCACCAATGCCTGAAATAGGTTTGAACCTTTCCTGTTTTTAGACAGAAGGTGAAAGTTCAGTATTGGATATTCACCATTGTGAATACTGGTATGTCTGAAACTTACCTCTAAAAACTTCCCTGTTTCAAAATCAGCATATCTACATGAACCATCATAGGAAGTTGTGTAAATGTGGGCTGGGTAATCTTGATGAAAAGAGACCCAGTTTACAGGACTCACATATGGTTTATAAGCCACTACGCCATCTTGGTTGTCAGTAGAATCCTAGAAAAATAATCAGACCAAATAAAAAAACATTTAAAAATTTTAAAATATATAATCTTCCTTTAAAAAAATCACTTAGTCAATATAATCTTGATTGAAACACCTGATACTTTAATAGTTTTATATTTTCTTTTCATCTTAAATATACATACATAAATATTACCTTTATTGATTTTCATGTGTTAGTCATAGTAAAGTGACCTTTAATTTTCAAATATTCATTTTCAATATGATATTTCTTTTTTCTATTTTTATTATTTTGTAAATTTTTTATTGTAGTTGTATGTTGAAAGATCCCAGGGAAGATTGTCTTGTGCAACTGGGTTTATAATAAAATTCTTATTATCATTATACACTAAAGAAAATGGCTGCAGTGAAAAATGGTAAAAAAAGTCTCTCATAACACAGTAGTAATTCCTGCCTTAACAGTAAACATAAATATTATTTAGAGACTACTTACAACATCCCATAATCCCACACCACCCCACTTGCCACCAGCAGCTATTAATAGTTTATCTACCATGGGATGTATTGCCAGTGAAAACACTCTAGTGGGCACCACTTTCGCTATTCCCGTTTCTTCCAGTTTTAAGTTGTTGATTTCTTTTAAATAACTGAAAGACAAAAGACAACATTATTTAAAGGGAATTAACTCCTTACAATATTCTGTGTTGACACTACTAACCCCACATTGAGTTGTCTGTTTTAATAAAACTGTTTTCAAAAAACAATTTGGCTTCCTTTCAGGAACCTATGATATGACATAATTACCAATTTGAAAACAAGAAAACTCTATGAAACACTTTTTATTAATCTGAAAGTAAGGCATATGTCAAACATGATATGAAAAGTTTTGACCTCTAAATATGTGACTGTAGCTCTAAAATGTAATACCTTTGTAAAGCAGATGATAACGGTTTTTGTTCAGGAATTTTTGTAGATGTGAATATACTAGACACTTTCTTATGGTAGTCCTGATCATCATCATTCAATAAAATAGCAGACATATCAACAGGACATACGGGAGGCATTATTGGCTGAAAATGAAAGATAAATCCTGAGTCTGAGTTACAAGAAAACACATTAATTATGATAAACAATATTAGGCCATCTTTCTGCTCGATTTTTGCCAGAATTGAACCTCAAAATCAGTAGATTAGCGAGCCAGCGACTTATTTGCTGAATCACACAAAACTCCTCCCAGAGTTTGAGCTTAAAGTATATGCAAAGGACAATGACCATATTTTTGGGGGTTCAATAATTACTTTGTTATATTCTAAGACAACAGGATCAGGAAGATGGTTGCCTTCTGGATCTATTCTAGCTAATCTTCTACTCTTTCTTATCACTATTGGTTCTCGAATCTTCTTCGGTCTAAAAATACAAGAAAAATTACTTTGTAAATTCTTATAAGAAGATCTATGTAACTAATAGAGTAGATGGAAACTTAAATAGTATTCGTAATCTTCTCACTCAGTTTTGGCATTTGGCATAACTTACTTCTTTATTCCTCTTTGTGAAGATTCTTTCTTAGGTTTAACAGCAGAACTAAGTTGTTGTTTTGCCTGAAATAGGTAATCATTTTTAGTAAAAGTATAGGATAGAAGCACTACAGAATCCGTATCATGTTGTGCTCACTGGTCGCATGACAGTTACCAATTCTCCTGCATTTTCTTTATTTCTAACCATCCTTTATCCTAATTGTGTAAACCTTTAAATACATTTTCTGTATAACCAGTCGAACATGGTATTATATCAATACAGTCAAAAATCTCCTTGCATGGGATTTCTATTAATAATTATGAAATGAATAATATTTATGAATATTTTATTGTATTGTTTTATATTTTTAAAACCATGGATAACGATTACCTCAAACATTCCAATCTGTGATAGAAATTTATTATTGGCTTCAATATTTCTCTGTCGGACCAGTTCATAGTCTTCATCTTCTTCCTGAAAATAATTTGACATGAATGTGGAATTTGATGTGTTAACAATAATTTCTTTACAGGATTCTCTATAGCAAGTGTATTGTTATGATTGAACTTAGACTATCATTATCATAGACTCTTCTTCATAGAATTCAGAAGCACTATCTGACTTAGATGTAAAAGTAATTCATGAAGCCAAATTTTTTAATTTCCAATTTTGTGTATCTAAATTAAATAAATGAATGTTCCATCAACAATTGGACACAAAAGACACTCACACAACATCAATTGATCTAAACTCTGAAGATTTCATTTCTTTTTTTTTATAGAATAAATGATGAAAATCTTACCTCATCATTGCTGTCCTCATCCAAACTATCTGGTTTTATATTTTCATTCTTGACTTGTATCTCATCTTTTCTTGGACTTGGGTCAAACTGAATTTTTTTTTAAAAATTATTGATAGGCTAGATCTACTTGAAATGTTTCATACATACAGCTATCATTTTTTTAATGAATATTTAAAAAATCTATTGAAAAAATCAACCATGTCAAACACTAATGTCTGAAAAGGATGGAATGTGTCGTAAGGGTTGAACTTCACAGTTTTGCCGAGGCAATTAGCCCACCACACAAAATCAAAGTTAGTTTGTTAGAAGCTACTGCTTTTAAATAATGATATGCAATATGTGTTTATGGGTTCAGTTATATATATACTTACCTCTATTGATTTGCTAACGGCTGGTAATTCTAAATCTTCAATGACTTCATCTTTAAATCGTTTTGTTTTGCTTTTAGTTTTATCCTATTAAAAAAAAACTCAAGGATGTCAAATGAAAAATGTCAAGGAAAGGTTTAAAAATTGTTGGCTACTGCTGAGAGTGAGAGGCTATCTGAATTTAATTCTAATGGCAGCCAGTAACAGATTAATGACAAGTTAATCATGCACTGTCAATGCATCTCTTAAAAAAGGCTACATCTTGACTATTACTACTGATGTAATGTGATCACTGTCACAAAGATTCATTCCCTCAGTGAGGCACAAGCCAAGGCTGAGGGAGTGCAGCCACTGCATCTATGTAGTCTTTATTGGATATTTTGTCATAAACATTGCCTTTCAAAACAGGTGACTCTCACCATTTCAACTGACTCTCTCTTCCTTTTGCTGGATCTGACAGCCGATTTCATAATGAACAGTATTCACTATTCAGTTGAACTATTTTTATAATTTCAATTAATTAGTTTGTTTGTATTACGGTAAACTAAGTGATTAGGTTTCCCGCGCTATTTTTACTGTTTCATAACAGTATTGAGCTTTGCCCTGAACATGGATTATAAACCGAAAGACGTATCCTTCTATAAACTAAATTCCAGAGCTGACTAGATATGTATTTATGCTGAAGCCAAAATATATTCATGACCCTTATTTGTGACAACATTTTAGCAAAACAAAATCGAGAATGAACACTTAGGAGCGATTAGGACGTTACATACGTATTATTCATGCAGGTTACTGGAATCATCATCGTGATCTACCAGACATAAATTATAATTGAATGAACGTCAGCATAGCGGTCTGGATAACCCAAGAAATATAACAGTAAATATCAGCCTTTTTCTTTAGAGAATTATTATTCAAGGGCAATAATTTTGGAGATAATCAGGACACAGTTAATACTTTTAAAAATACAGGTTATTTTGGTTACGTTTTGACTCTCTCCCATGTCCAAGATGGAACATGAACATCCAGGTAGACCTAGTAAGTATAAAACATCTGATTGTATTTATTCGTCAACTGAGTTTAATGTACCGTAGATCTTTAGTGCAAACTTATACCTTTTATTGGTAGTTTTCGAAATGATCTGGACTTGAAATGGGTGCAGGGGTGGAGGGATCATAAAAATCAAACAGGAAGATTTCGTCTATGAATTCATAGTCTTCATTTGCTTTACACAGTAAGCCTTCATTACTTCATCAAAATGAACAAAAACCTTCAATTTATTTGAAAATAATTTACAAGAGGCGTTAGCTTTGTTATTATGTATTTATTCATCCAATAATATCACTTCCCATTGTTAATAGGGGAGTTAGGGCAGTTCCGTCCACGTATAAAAAAGAAATCCCAATAAGAGTAAATGAGGTAGGCTTCCTGCTTGATTTGGATTAGCAATAAATGTTAAGGGTGTAGGAAATCACCAAGCAATGTTAAGACAGACAGCTTAGTTTGGTATTTTACTAGTAGGCCTAAGAGTATATTATACAAATTGATATACTGCAGTGCAGTGTTAATTGGCTCTTTGAAAAATGGGCCGAGTTTTCAAACCAAGTCGTAATTTGGCATAAGGTGTTTGTAAGGGGTATGTATTCATGACCTTACAATGACACCTGACCAGTACTCATTCTAAAAATAATTAACAACAAAATTTGTAGTAGCCTAATAAATAACACCAAATGCAACTCTTTGATTGGGTGTTGAGCCTATGCAGAATCTAAATTTAATTTCAGACATGGAACTTCTTCAAACAGAGTTAAAGAAACTACAAGAATCATATAATAAACTTCAGTCTTATGTTACTGACTTAGAACTAAAACAAAGTGCAGCTTTTTCCTCAGAAGTTGAGAATAAATCATGCACAGATAACTCTTGTTCAAACTGTAATCACAGTCTCTGTAAATATGTGGCAGATCTGTTCCAAAATCGATTACACAGGTTTGTAAAAAGCTACTTCTTTAGGTTGTTCTTTAAGTTAGTTACTCTCAGCTTGTGAGTCAAAGTTCAGAATGTATTGTGACAGTGATTGAGAGTGAGGGAGAGCTTGTTGACTCTGCGAAAAAAAATCTAGGTTTGTCACTTACACAGAATCTGGTACAGTATACAGTATTTTTTTTTTCATAAATGACATAGTATTTTGTGCATGAAAGCCTTAATTTATTATATATTTTTTCAGTGATCTAACTATTCTGATGGAAGAGGGACAAGTTATCTATGGTCATAAACTAATTCTATTATTTAGAAGTTCAGAGTGGAATGGCATGGATTTAAATGTTACAGATTGTCTGGACTTTTCAGGTTAGTTATTATGATTAGAAAATATTTTAATTGACTTTGGGAAACATTTGTGTACTTTACAATGAATTGATAATTAAAAGGAGTTTAGCTCTATGTTAACCTCGCTTCGCTATAAGAATATCAGGGTGAACAACCTTCAACTGTGTAGGTGACAGGTGTGGTTACTTTCATTAGAACACTGCGTTTTAAATAGCTCAGTTGGTAGTGAGTTGGATTGTCTTCTGCTTGGTGAAAAATCCCCATGGATTTGACTCCCCCTCAGGCAAAAATATTCCGAAGACATGATCAAAATGCTTTTGAAGGTCAACTAAATGTTGCATTTCTACCCTTTCTATCTAATGCTGTGACAGCAGTTGAATTTGATCTCATTAGCAACATGGAAGACGATTTTCAGGGTGCAGATGAACCACTTCTGAAATTGAAAATTCGAAATGTTATCCTTAATTAACATATTTGATTTCTTCAGATATGAAATATGAACTAGTATATAACATGTTTAAATGGGTCTATACAGATGAACTAGATATAACAGATCAAGATTATTTAGTAGAGATGATTCAGTTAGCCTCAAAATTTAATATCAATGACTTGTTAACAAAGTAAGTGAAATTAGCTAATTTTATGACAGGATCTAGATCAAATTTCCCATATATTGGAGAGTGAATAAATTATGTGAATCACCACGGAAGAGAAGAATACACACATATGACAATACTGTGACCTAATTGACAAGAATTCATATTCAGATATAAGATTTTTATAAGGACTGAAGGTTTAGAAGTTACAATGATATTTCCAAATATTGTTTTTTTGGGGTATAAAACTGTGGGTATTGTTCCATGAACAATTGTACTAAAGGTTACTGAAAATGGACCAAGTCTTGATAATGTCTTTGATAGTATATTCCATCCTCTCTGTGATTGATTTTCTAAACTTCTGAAAAATATTTTTTCTTTAAAGATGTGAAGAAGCTCTGAAATCGTTTGTTTCTGCCACAAACTATGAAGATTTATATAGAATAGCTAGAAAAGTTTCTGCCAATGAACTGAAAGATACTTGTTTAAAAATGAAGGTAATGCTATTATTGTTCCCAGATTTATCCTGAAATTGATAAATTTTAAAAGGCTAAATAGTAGATTTAAGCTTAAATTGCAGCATTTTATTGTGCTTAAAGATGTCTTACTATTATGACAAACATTATTATCCCCAACCTCATACAAAGTTCACAACTATCACAACTATATTCTATTTTCAGGAAGAAATTTTTCAACAAAATTCCAGTGAAATTATTCATAAATGCCTTGATTGTGACCAAAGTTTTTTAAATGCAGAGGAATTAGCAGAACATTCCAAAAATCATTCCAATTTCAGTTCGGAAATAAGACTTGAGGTTTTAGAAAATGATGTGAAAACTGAGGTAGAAGAACCTGATACTAAGAGTTTTGTGTTGAAAGACCAGAAGTTCGAAAAATTGGCAGAAGTTGAAAAAGTTTCTTTAAGAAAAAAGACTTTAAGGACAAATAAGTCTCAAAAAGGAAAGTCTTCAAAAACTAGTCAAAAGGCTGCAAACAGTAAGAACAATTCTGAGTCAAAATCTTGTGAAAAGAAGGTGGAAATAGTCCAGGAATTCAAATGCTCAGTGTGTGTTAAAATCTTCAAAACTAGACGAAAATTGAGCAACCATGAACGAACGCACAAACGTGATAAAATATATAAATGTGATATCTGCAGTAAACATTTCTATAGTATTGGCCACTACAAACAACATATCAAGGTTCACTCAGAGTTACGTCCCTTTCAGTGTGATATATGTGGCGCCACCTTCCGTCAGAGTGGTGGTCTTTATTCTCATCGATCTATTCACACTGGAAACAAACCATATAAATGCGATGAATGTGATAAATCATTTAGAATGAAAAATTGCTTACAGACTCATCAAAGAGTACATAGTGGTGTCAAACCCTATATTTGTCATGTTTGTGGTAAAGGTTTTGGAAGCAGCTCTCATTTTAGACGACATAAAGTTATTCATACTGGAGAAAAACGTCATCAATGTGGCGTGTGTCAGAAATGTTTCCAGTATTCTCACCATTTAAAACGTCATCTAAAAACTCACAATAAGACCCAGCCTAATTCAAGATTAGTCAATGGTGATTAAAATATGGAGATTCAGTATCCAGAACCTTCTCATAAACTGACTCATAATTTAGAGGTTTTTTCAAACTTTCCATATCAATGAAAATTTAAGAGATACAGTGCAATATATTCATATAGATGGAGAAGAGACTGTCACAGAGTAAAGATTGGTGCCTTTATAGCAGTTTAATTGACCAAACCAATGAAGCGATGAAGACCCCCTTTTTGAAACATCTGATATATTGCAAATTCACTTCTCCGTTTCTGAAATTTGGAATAGAAGCCCCCCTATTCTCCCCCTCTCCATTTTAAACCATGCTCGGTCCTTTTGGGATAACGTAACTTGGAGTATAAAAATGTTTATTTGATAAAATTAATTTGATTTATTGTGTATGTAATGGGATCTATGTATTGTACTGTTTTTGTTATTGGATGAATCTGTATTATTATATTTATGATTATTTATAGACTTTTATTTATAGCTTACAGCATATTTTTTAGCTATTTTTCCATTATTATTTATATTTATTCACATTTTCCATCGCTTGAATTGTGTTTCTCATAAAATTGGGCTATTTTAGGCATTATTTTCTGTTTACAATTTTAGATGTATATTGTATACTTTTATTAAACTTGAATTAAATTTTATTTTTTTGTGATAGTGTTTTTTTGCATAAATTGCGTGTAAAAAGTAGTGTATTAGATTGTATTGGATGTTTTATGTTTCATCCAGAGATTTTTATTGAAATCATGTATTTATTTGTTATTGGGATTTGAGAATTGTTATTGGGATTTGAGAATTGTTATTGGGATTTGAGAATTAAATTTGCTTATATTTTTATACTGGTATTTTGATTCTTTTTGTTAGACCTTAATACCAGGAGTATTCTAGGCATAGAGTCATGTAATGCTAATATCATTTTCATTTTAAAACCACACAAGTGTTCAAAGTTAAGTAGCAGTAACGCAGGGTTACTTTGCATAAATGTATTTAAGTTTACAGAATTTTATGAAGAGGGCAAAAAGAAAAAAAGCTACTTAGAAAATAATACTAATAGTACCATATAAACCCCAATCTCAATTGAGGTTCAATTATATCGTACATGCCCTTCATCAATCAAGTTTTTGTTTTATAGAGTTGTTGAATCGATAAGACAAGTACTTTTAAGTCTAACCAGAAAGAACTAGACACCTTATTATCCTTGCACAAAATTATAAACTGACCATTACTGACAAGTGGTTACATATTTGTATGTATTATGTGTTTTGTTTGGTTACGAAATTTACATCAAGTCCAAGATGGCTGATGGTAAGAAATTTATCTAATAACAAGATACTTTTTCATATAGGTCATTGTGAACTTGAATAAATATAATCCGATAAAACAAAATTTGAAATGATAGAACAAACGCCTTTAAATATTTTTCATTTTAATATATCGTGTGTTACAAGCTACAAGTACGTGTACAGGTTTGGATAATTTGAAGTAGGGGAGTTTGGAGTATTTGGTCCATGTTTACAATTGTGTGCAGTGTATTTATATATGTAAAGTCAATGTCTTTCTTAACTTGTGAATTCCGAAACATTTTCCACTGATAGATCAATGGCATCATGTCCAAACCACATCCCTATTCGTCATACTTACACAGGGCCGTTGTAACACAAGTGAGAAAAACTATGTATTCATAGCTAAATATTGTCCATTCAAAATTGGCCCTACTGTAATGGTAGCAAATTTCAGCCAATCAAAACAAATCACTTGTTATGACGCTTTGTTTACGAACGCAAACAAAACGAAAGCAGCATGCTTTTAATGAATATGTATGCTACAGAATTGAGTAATATTTGTCATAGAATTGAAGCAAAATTGAGAGAAAATCAAACCTTACTTCGGAATATATACTAGAATGTGTTCTTATCTCTTCAAACGGGCGGCGGCAAAGCGGTGTTCAGCTTTGTTTACATGACCTCATTTCTGTTCTTCAGATCTCTACCTATCTCATTTCCACGCCCCCCCCAAACAAAGTGTTGTAGGCTTAATTTAATAAAGGTTTATTCTATTTACGATTTATCAAGGGCTTCTAATTACAAGCTGACATAGCCCAATTTTCAGTTTCCAGAATTAAACTCTTATGTCCATGTCTATTTTTAGATGAAAGACTCCAGGTTTTACAAGATGAATATTATTTACTTCAAGAAGAATGCACTAAACTTAAGACGTATGTTAATGAATTGGAAGCATCGCAAAACTCTTTGTTTAAAAATGACAACAAATCTGAAAATAGTCATGGCAAAATTTTACATGACTTTGTTGCAGATCTATTTGATAACCCATTACATAGGTAAGTCTCAGAGTAGTTGGATGGTATAAATTAGAAGTTAAAGTAAAATTAGACCTAACTTTCGTTTCGTTTTTTTTAATTAGTTTTTATTTTTAGAATAGCCACTTATCAGTAGAGTTTAACAACAGGAGCCTTGAACATTCATCAAACTTTTTGACCTAACCTGATTTAACCAATCAAATTCAGCCTTTCTCCAGTGTTGGCATTTTTTGACTTGATCAAAAGGTGTGTTTTCAGGAGCAATAGACTAGTTTATCATGCCTTTTCATTGTATGTACCGAATTGACCCAGAATTTGATTGGTTAAAGCAAACGTCATTAGGTTAGGTCACTGTGGAGTGGCTATACTAAAAATATAAACTAATAAAAAAAGAAAATAAATTTTGGTCTAATTTTAATTAGACTGTATGAAGTAGTAAAATAGTTTGTATTTGTTATATTTCTTTCCAAAAACGGAACTGATATGCTAAAGTGAATTCATTTTGATGTAAACTTTATAAACCTAGATATGTATTTGAAAATAGTTATCAAAGCAAATTTTGGTGTATCTTTGTGCTATATATGAATATTTTTAATATATCTATTTGTAAAAACTGGTTAATAATTGTAATATAGAAGATTGCATTTCTAAGCAAATTCTGTACTTTATTTAATAAATTGATCACACTTCAGAGTACTTGTCCAAGGTTTGAATCAAAGTTCTCATATATCTTTTGTCCTTTTTCAGTGATATCAAAATACTCTTAAATGGGGGAAAAGAAATATTTGCCCATAAGCTGATTCTGGCTTCCAGAGAGTTTATTTCACATGATAATGATATGAATCAGTTAGAGGTTCTAGATTTATCAGGTAAGTTTATGGCTTTCTTTAACCATGGAAGGTTTAATGTTTTATTATATCTTTTGTGAATTTAATATCTTTTGCATCCTTGACTGATAAGCAGACATTGAAAAGAGCATCTTGTTGTTTGGATTGGACAAAAAATTATCAGAAATACTGAACAACAAATGTTGGTAAAAAGGTACATAAACTAATTTTTGTTATGTTTTAGGTATGAAATATGAAGGAGTGTATAAAATGTTGAAATGGATTTACACTGATAAATTAGAAATAGAAAAAGAAGAAGAGTTCAGTGAATTACTGGAGCTGGCTGATGAATTTCATTTACAGACCTTACTATTAAGGTTAATAGCTGTCTTTATTTCTTTCTAAACTCTGCGAGGGTGGCAGTAGATTAGCCTAATAGTTAGAGAGTTTGATAGTGGTTTGTTTGGTGACAAAATCCCCTTTTAGATAAAATGCTGATACCACTGCCAGTGCTTTTGAGTTAACTCCATGTCCGCTTTCAATCTCTTCCGCAAATTTATTCATTTCAATGTCATGTAATAATTTCAAATACTGCACATGATATCAAAACAGAAAGTCAGCAAGATCTAAACCAATTCTTACATTCAAGGTGTGATATTGGTATTGATAATCTGATAAATAAAAATAAAGAAAGAAAGATCCGTAAGAAAACTCAGAAGTTATCATCTACAAATCAGGTTTGTATTGTTGTATATTGGGTGTTATCACACTATGGAACATGTAAACACTGAAACTGTATTTGTCAAACCTGACATCCCTTTGGAGAGGCCTCTTAGTTATGGTTATTAAGTAGTGGCCATCAGTCATTCTTCATCAAGTTAACCCAGGGGTTTCATGTTTTGATCATGACAAAAGTTGGTGTGACATCTTTGGGTTTATCAACTCAAGTGTTCACCTGTGATTAACCCAATCTGAAGCACAAAAGTTGGACATAAAACTCCCTTTTCATTCAATTTCAGATTTGGCCCCTATATTAAATACTTTTAATTGGCAAATAAGACGACCCTCATATTTGTGGCTGTTCAAGACATAAGATTATCATAATATATATTTCAGCATGTAAATTTAGATTCTGAAAATGAAGTAAATCATGAAGAGATCGAAATTGATGATGGTAATAATGACTTTGAAAATCATGATGATCTTGGATATGATGCTCAAGAGTCACTGAATGCTTCATCATTAATAGATAAGGAACTCACAGTATGGAAAAGTGGAGAGACTCCAGCAAAAACCTTTGAATCACCAATTAGCTCTGTGAAAACAAAAGCTAAGAAAACACCAAATCTTGCATTAAAGGGAAATAATTTTAACATCAAATCCAAGTCAAGAGATATGTCTAAAAAAAGGAATTTAAATGAACCTAAATTAGACGGCTCTAATAATGAATGTAAAGTTTGTGGTAGATTATACCCAACTTATAAACAATTACTATGTCATTCAAAGATTCATACTGAAAACAAACATAAATGTGATGTGTGTAGTAAGTCATTTTATTGTGTCTCTCATCTTAAACAGCATCTTAGAGTCCATTCTGGTCTGAAACCCTATCAATGCCATATTTGTGGTGCAACATTTAAACAGAGTGGTGGTCTGTATTCTCATAGATCTATCCACACTGGCGTGAAATCCTTCAGTTGTGATATTTGTAATAAGATATTCCGTCAAAAATCAGCATTGGCACTTCACCAAAGAACTCATACTGGAGAGAAGAGCTACGTCTGTGAAGAATGTGGTAAAGCTTTTGCTACCAAGTCTCAGTTAAGTATCCACAAACGAATCCACACTGGTGAGAGACCTGCAGTATGTGAAACTTGTAATAAATCATTTATTTCTACTAATCATTTGAAGAGACATATCAAAACACATACAGGAGAAAAAACTTTCAAATGTGAATACTGTGAAAAGTCATTTACTAACGGATATAATCTTAGAAGACATATACAAACTCACAAAAACAGAGGAATAGTAAATACGCCTGTAAGAAAATTGAAAATAGCTATTAGAAGTAGTGAAATGAAATAGCACTTGTGACACTTCTACCCATTTATTTGAACTCCATGGAATCTTCAGGATGTTCAATATGACAAGTTGGAACAGAGATCACACAGCGTTCCACATGTGCTTAAACAATAGTGGGTGTAGACAGAATTCAAAATGGCAGAGAAAAAAATTAGATGAGATAATTTTGAATGTGACTTATTCGCATCCGTACGGTTTGATTGAGTCAAAACATACAGAAGCTGTTCAGAATTCTCCGAGAGGCACCTTACAGCATTTTTGCAGGGTTGTTGATTCAACTGTATTTAACCAGTCATGTCCGATAAGATCTCTAAAGTTATCTGATTGAATTTTTTAGAAATTTATTAAAAAAAAAAAGACTTATTCATGAAACAGTTACACTGAAATTTTCAATGTTAAAGGGATTGTGAAGAGGTGTCCTAACTCTTTATGTGTATCTAGCACACTGATAGCATCAATTTTTATCAGGCATCTTGGTATTGCACTAAAACTAAGAGTTGTATGACTTCACTATTGAAAAAGCTGCTTTTACTTTATTGGCAACTTTTGTGGTAGCGATGTCATATCCAGTCAATATTTCTATTAGTACAGGAACCATAGATATCTGGCAGAAAATAGAAGATACAAATGGTCCCTACTCACACTAATTAAGTTTAGAAAACCTCTTTTAATGTAAAAAAAAATATTATTATTGAAAATTTTGAGCAAAAATCTGTGGTATGGTATATGATAGGTAAAACTAGTTACATAGTTTGAAAGAAGTCTCTGAGAGTTTATGATTGGGGCTATGCTAATAGATTCTCAATATACAACATAACAACTACCAATACATTGAAATAAGTTGTCTATTCATTTTGAATTAGTAAAACACTATATAATTAAAACATGAGCAATATTTCAGCAATAAAATAATTATTAATAGTTTTGTGATACTGGTGTTAAAAGTACTATATAGCATGTTCATTTTTTGGGATAATTTGAACTCGCCAGGAAATTTACAATATCTATCTTATTCACTAGAATAGAGATACCTGGCCTTGCTATATGTAAGGACTTGAATGGCCCCATAATATTTTGTCATTTCAATTTATGAGTTTATGAATATCTTTAGTGTGGGAAGTTGTTGGTTTTGAACTATCAAATATATTTCATACACAACCCTTTTCCTTTCTCAATAAAAAAAAACACAGTCAAGAATAAGAATATGAAACTTGAATTGTATTTTTTTTTTCTCAAAAATCATAATTTAACAACAAGAACATAAGATATTCATGATTTCTATTTGAAAAAAAAATAATGATTTATTTGCAAGGGGGTGAGAATCTTTATCATAAGAGAAATTTGGTATTAAATTTTAAAGTTTAAGAAAGGGAAATAATTGTATCACCCTTGGTAACGAAAGTCCCATGAAAGTGTAGAACTTGGACGTTTATGATGGTCCTTCATCCTGTGTTTCATTTGTCTTCTTCAGAAATTGTTGAACAGTCATATTTAAAATTGACTGCATAGATTTGTCAAGAGTATCTGTTGAAGATTCAGCTTTTAAGCTCACATATTGCCCTGAATCTTGTTTTTGTGAAGACAATACACTGTTAGGGTCAGAATGTTTAGCAATATGTATCTGAAGATAATAGCTTGTAGCAAAAGAACGATTACAGATTCCACACTGAAATGGCTTCTCTCCTGAATGAGTTAATTTATGTCTAGTCAGGTGACTGCTGATACCAAAAGATTTACCACAGATGTCACATTTAAATGGTTTCTCTCCAGTATGGGACCGAACATGAGAAACCTGATGACTTTTTGAGGTGAAAGTCATGTCACAAAATTCACAAGAAAATGGTTTATATCCTGTATGTCCACGTATATGAATCTTTAGAGAATTTGGAGAACTGAATGCTTTCCCACAAGTCAAACATGGGTAATTTTTCTCACCGGTATGAGTACGTCTATGTTTAGTTAATTGGGTACTTGATGCAAATGATTTCTCACAACCTTCACATTTGTACGGCTTCTCTTTAGTGTGTGTTCGAATATGGATGGGCATAAAGCTACTTTGTCGGAAGCATTTCCCACAGATTGGACAAACATAAGGACGTTCTTCAGAATGAGTCTTTTTGTGTTTCCAAAGATGACTTCTCTGAGCAAAAGTTTTCAGACACAACTTGCATTCATATGGTTTCATACCGGTATGTAATATCATATGTTGAGTAAGTGTACCCACTAATTTGAATGATACTCCACAAACATTGCATGTGTGTCTTTTTTCATTTTCATGGATCTTTTTATGTTCACGATGTTCTTGTCTAGTGGACATCAGCTTGCCACATTTACTACACTCATATTTCTCTGCAGCACAGATCATAAGATGAAACTCCAACCTTGATAATTCTGTAAAAGTTTTATTGCATGCATTACAACTATAATATCTAGGTTTCTCATGGTCTTTACCATCGGCAAATTTTTTCAAGCGTTCTTTAAATCTCCGTACCACTGGGTTTTTCTGGCGCTCATGTGAAATGTTTGATGAAAATAATGATTCATCTTCAGTAGGAAACTCATGAGATGTTTGGCTTCTTATGACATTTGAATTTTCTCTGGCATTTTTGCTATTTTGAGTAAGGTTAGCTAAACATTGTTTTTGGTACTGCAGTCCTGTTTGTTGAAAATTGTCTCCATTCATGTGAATTTCATTGTGTTTGGCCAGTGCATCTATCTGCTTGAAATTAGCATCACAAAACAAACACTGATGACCTCCCTTGTAACTCAGGTCAGTCATTTTATTATATCATACAAGAGGTAGAATGATAACAGGACACATTTTCTAAAATGAAAATCAAATTTTAAACATTTATTTAAAGTTTCACAAACTTTAGCTCTTAATTAGTGAAATGCAAAAAGTAGAGTCATAATATACCAGACGAATATTTATCTGCAAATAGACATAACCTACCTAAGCTAGTTGCATGTACTATCATGGAATCGTGCGTACTATTGTGGAACGAAGGAGTTCTTACTGTTCTACTGTTGCCTGTCTATCAATAATGAATTGCGTAAATTTCAATGATATTCAATCAGATCAAAGCACTGCGATATATTTTGGCTTCAATAAATAATTCTTAACCATTATTCATTCATTTGTCGAAATTTAAAACGATTTTCAGGAAATATTAGAAAAAAAAGAAAAATTTAATTTATTTTGATATTTTGTCTTCCATGTTGAATTTTTGGTCATGTGACTTACATCAAAATGTAACCATCCTTGTACATAACGTAACTAACATCATTTACCTTGCATTGTACAACCGATATGTGAATGGACATGGGCCAAATGTCCTATTCAGACAGTCCTCTCCAAAATAATCTTATTTACTATATAAAGTTTCCCGACAAAAACTTAAACTAAAATTGGCATTCCCACATTAAACAGTACTTGATCTCTGTCGGCAATATTCATAATTTTTTAAGTCGCCAAAAACAGTTGCTTAAACCGTTTTTACAACTGAGTTTAAGCTATTAGTGTCACTTTTCAGCAGGCCCCTAACTTCCAGGGTCAAAAAAGAGGGGGAGGGGGCGGGCAATGTACACCCGAAAAGAATGGATTGCCCCCCTGATAGACCCATTAAATGATTTGACCAGCCATAACTGCCCTCGAAAATGTGAGTGGGGTTGTAACCACAGTTTTACCTTATGGTTCGTTTTTATTTAATTGTAGAAGAGCTGGGAGTAGGATTGCAATTCTGAAAGTTATCTTAACTGCTGGTATAGCCACGACTTGATTAATTTCAAGTCATAAATAACAATTTTTTTGTAGTCCCTATGACAAAGAAATTCATAACTCCTAGGCTAAAGGCATAGATCTTTACTGACAATATTAAGCACCTATCGTAGCTGTGAATATCAATAATGTACTACGGTGGATATGATATTGTCATGAACAGATTTGGGTTTATCGTCGCTGTGTAGTGGAAATAAAAATTGAACATTCACTGGTTTGATAAATTGACATGTTAAATTGAACTTTGACTGAATGTAATCTGTTATAGTTTGTATCTAAAATAAATCCATACTGTATAACTTTCCACAACATATTTCAAAACATGTTATTTAGTCGAATTTAAATCATTTTTTAGTTTAATGTGGAATTTTTGTTCGACATTTTCGCCCCCTTTTTAACTCACAAATCAGAATGCATGTAATTTAAAATTGGCAGTATTTGGAAGTGCGGGGTTGAGAAAATCGTAAAATCGAAAATTTATTAATAAACGTGGGATATCTTCTGACAACTGGCCCCATAATACGAACCTTTGATGTCCAATTATGTAACACATAGTACTAGGCACATTGAAGTGCACTTGTTTTTATACTGGACGCATAGAAGAGCACTTGTTTTCAATGTGTTAAAGCTGGTTTTAAAATTGTATCGGTAGATTTTGAATCAAATCAATGTCAAACATGGAGGTCGTATTAAATGGTTATTGCTAACAGGACGGAAGTAGCTGCAGAAGAAATAACCATTTGCCGAATTAGATATAACTTCTCCCAAGAGGCAACCCTGATATCCCAGATCAATTAGGATAAATAATATGAAATCATATAACATAAATAAACAGCGATGTCTGCAGAACTTTGGACTTGATACCAATTTTTTTTTATAGGAAAATGAAGCGAGTGCCAAGATGCCAAGTCAATCTGAAAGGTTTTGGGAATGCTCCCACTCAAAAAGTTTCTGAAAATAGTCCCTCGTCAGCGATACCATCCAGGCACGCATGATCAATTATTTCATGTTTCAGAGGCTTCGGTCAATCATGTGACCAGAATAACTTTCTTTTTCGTCCTTCCCTTCTGCCATTAGATGGATGTTAAAATATTATCATCTACCAACAAAATGTTAAATCGGAGATAAGACTCATTAGATTTGTTGAGACCAAAACCAATAAATTTCTTTTCACCTCTGAAAGGATGTATATACGACAATGACAATACCATTTTACTGTGTTAGATTCCTGTCCTATATCTATTTATACAATGCTATTTTACTAATGCGATGTAAAAAGAAATGGATTAGAGAACAGTTTTTCGCCTATGTGCTCCCAGACCCAGTCAGAAAAGAATTATTAAGTCACAAAAGTACGGAAAGCTGCACTTGTTTACCTGTGACCGAGTGTTCGGCTGATATCTTATCGTCTGTGATGTCCATTAATACTACATTCTTTATCAAGTCGGAGACAGACATTATTATATAAAAAGGATAATAACAAAGAGTTCTTTAACAATCAACAAATAGTTTTGTTGTTAATATATAAAACTTCATTAAAAAGAATTCTGCAGGTGATGGATTGGATCAAGATCTATCTATAAATGTTTTATATATATAAATATATATATATATATATATATATATGCCTATTGGAGACTGAAATACTTTTCGAACATAACCGAAAACCCCGAGACTCGAGTCGCTCACAGGACTAGTGCGTGCTGACTTCCTCGCGTCTTCCGGGCGAATTGGTTGTCATCCAGGGTGACGAGCTCACGGAGACGTGTCGCCTTGGTGAGAGTGTTCGCCATTTGATGATCACTTGAGACACCCGAGTCGCCGCGACTTATCAGTCGAGCCTGTAGCTGCGGCGTATCCGCCAGTGAGATATAGGCTCTTAAGCTACGACGTATAACATGTTACATCTAGATGTGATATAAGTTTTACACCGTTGCTAAAGGAACAATGGTCGTACCATGCCGTTCAAGATACACTCTGTAATGTCAATTTTACAAAGAAAATATTTTTTTTCTCTACTTTTTACAACAGGATTTGATTGGTTTTGTTAACACTTAAAAAACACAAACATAGTTAATGGGTCTCATAATTTCAACTTGAAGTCACGTTTAGTGCGAGATTAGGTATGACGTCTGCTAGTTTTGGAGGAAGATCTTTGCCACCAACTGTTCAGAACTCGGCGTCAAAATGGCAAGGAAATGTTCAGATATGACTAAAAACCCACGAATCAGCACGCTCTACGCCACCAGGAGTGTTTTTAATGGATGAAGAATGTCAAAGATTTAATATCATGTCGGAGACTTCCGTAATAAGATAAAATGGTCGTTATAGACAGATGCTCGGATAAAATGTCTAATCTAGTCTACCAGCGAATCAAGAAAGAAAAAAAAACCAAAAAAACCCCAAAATCAAAAACAAAACAAAACAGATAAAGCACTTTTCAACAGTTACGATTGGCGTAAGAAGTGGTGTTGACGCACGAATGTATAGCAGAATACATAATGGCAAGACACAGGTACTGAGACAAGATAAATTTAAAGATATGGTATGCACAGAAGGAGGGGTGAGAGCTAAAGGGGGTGGGGGTGCGATAAGTTCGTTGTAAGTAAGCCTAAGGAGGGGAGGAGTGATGGTATACTTTTATTTTTTGAACCAACTTTTCCAAGAATAATGTAGACACCTTAAATGTCAGATGTGTTGCAAGTACCACAACAGTACCGCTTTAACCATAAACTGATGTCAACTATGTTGCTTCTGGAAGATTCAAAATTTAGGTTGACAATAATTAAACAATGGTTGCTTTACCATTAATAACGTAGTATAGGAATAAAGTCATAAATAGTATGTTTTGTAATTAAGATTGAAGTTAGGCGACAATAAAATGGTCTACTAATGTAATTACATCAATAAAAAAAAATTCAATGTCGTTAACTTGATGTTAGCGGACTAACGCAGGTCAGGTTACAGTAGGCTACTATTACGGTACCCTATAGACAAGGCCAAAGCTGCTGGACTGGCAATGAACAGGGATCATTGCAATCAAAGAAGATAACTACGTTGCACAACTCAATTTGGATCTAATGTACTTACAGTTTTGCTTTCTGCAAACTTTTTTTTATGTAAGTTACTTTCGCCTTAATAATTATTGTTTGCCATTTATAAAGAGTTTAAGTACCTGCTCCTTTTAGGAAAGGTGGGAGTGTTCAAGTTCACCAATTTGTGTGTGTGTGTGGATGGATGGATAGAAGCATTGCTTGGACACCTGTTTTGAACAATCCACAAAGCAAGGATTATTTCCACAATGTTTCGGACTACTATTAGTATTCTTAAAGTAACTGCGCGGGCGGAAAGATCTATATGTAACTTCCTCTCAACCACAATGAGGGAGGTTTGACTTGAGTTGTTCTTGTCTTTTTGATATCAAAGAAGAAGGGACACGAGAAGTATTATTACACAATTTTCATACGTCAACATTTCAATTGTTTCAGCTTGATCTATTAATTGTTTTGTCAGAAGGGATAATTTAATGTAAATATGATATTCATTATTCCCTAAAATCTATACCAAACGTTTTGTGACTGCTTACAAATAAAAATCTGAGTAATGTTCTTGTCCATGGTAGATTAGATCCCCTTTTTATTAACTCCCTGAAG